ACATATCTCTACTGTCAACTAAAGGAATTCCACGAAGTTTAGCAATGACTTGACTAGGTCTGACTTCTCTCTCACGATTTCCTCCTAATTAATTCTCTGTAGTTTGTCTCTCATCAGACTGCAGATGGAGTATATGACTCATAATATTGAAAATGTGTCTATCATTTATGACAGCTTGCTTATTTTCACATGCATATAACAGTCAGATTTATGTGCATTAAAGTTTGGCGAGCCTAAGTGTTCGGCCAACCTACTAATTCCACTGACTACACATTCTGAAATGATTTTGCACAGTAGTGATGATCCTTCATGCCTTGAGGAGCCTAGAGCAGTACAAGAATGTTCTTTTGCTGCCCAATATTTTTCCTATACAGCACTCAGACTGTACAATCAGTTGCCTGCATCCATGAAACAGCTGACTTCTGTGGAGGCCTTAAGAAACAACATTAGACCTTTTCTTAAGTTCATGAACTTGAACAGGGTACAGTGATGGAGAAATACAGGGTTTAGGAAGAATTAAAACTTAAGGGTATATGAATGATAGAAGTCGAACTGTCACTTTATGAGATCTTTTATTGTAGTGCAGTATTTCTTTTTATTCTGAAGTCTTTGACTTTGTAGTGTTTTGAGTGCTAGTGAATTCTTTAGAAGAACTGATGTTTTTGAGAGACAAAAGACCAGCTATTATTATTATTATCATCATCACAATCACTGAAGATGGCAGCGAGCCCATACAGCTAGGGGGGGGGTAAGAGGGAAGCCCCTCTTCATAACAGAATGCAAATTGTTCTTCATGAAACCCATTGAGCTGAAATTACTCTCAGATTCAGCTGATGAAGTTGGCAATGTACAGTAAATGTTAGTTACAATGTAATCCAGCTCAAAAAGGGCATTCTTTAGCTTTGTCAAATAAGCATGAAGTTTAAGAAGACTATATTACTGATTCCAAATCTCTTTCCAGGTCGGTAGAAACTTTATCTATAACATTATACCCTTGGGATAATAGACTAATTGGGGGGATACCATGGTTGTTAAGCTAAAAGTCTGTTAACCAATGTCTGATAATGTCCGATAATCCTGATAAACATTCTGTTAACCAGAGTCTGAGAGGGTATGCTGCTGTATCAGTTTGAACACATGGTCCATACAGTAAACATCACCTCAGTTGTGCTCCACTGTGTGTTCACAAACTGATACAATATATATAAGACGGTTTATTAAGATAACATGGCAGCCCAAAGGCTGAAATGCGAGCACGGGCCTGACGGTGGGGTAAGTTGCAACATTCATACAGTGACGTGAGGACATCAGTGCTTGCTTATAGGCTATAAGCTTATGTATGCAAACTCTGAATACATTAAGTGATGCTTTCCTCTCGTACTACAAAACAAGTGTCAATAAAATCACTAATCATGGATAAGTGGATCATTAAAAAATACAAAGCTAATTTGGATGGAGAAAGGCCGACGTCAGGTTCATGTTCGGTTTCCACAAAAGAGAGACATGAACATAGCAAACAAATTGATGCAAACATTGCAAAGCCAACCTGTGATTCCACTGAGTCTTTACTTGATTGCGAGTTGAATGGTAACCCAAAGTGTTGGTCTTCTGATCAATATAAAAAGACATTAGGGGAATATGAGTGGCTTTACACAAGACAAGGTAAACTTGGTTGTTGTTTAAGAATATTTCAACTTTAGGTTCTGACAAAACACAAGGCTTAGCTTTATGCCATGAATGGCAACAAAGCAGTGTGGAAGCTACAGGCGAAACAACAAAGAAACAAAAACAACAATAACAATTAAGAAACAAAATATTCAAAGACAAAAATAGCACTGCACATAAAAAAGCATAAGAAATAACATCTGCAGCTTCAAATAAAACTTGAGAAAACATCGCAACAAAACAAAATTTTTCATGTTTAGAATCTCCTTGTTGTGTAATTCAAACTGTTTACAGTATACAGTACTGTATTTGCAAGACTGGATATCCATTTGCTGACTTGCTCCATCTCGTTTCAGGTGCTTAATGGAGTTGATATGGGACGTGTTTTACACAGTGGTCATTCTTGTGCAGACATTAGTGTTCACATTGCTAATGCTATGAGACAGAAATTAGTGACTGAAACAGAAAGCAGAAAAACTCAATAATGGTTTAATGATTAATGATTCAACATCAATAAGTAAAAAGACAGAATTAGTTATTTGTATCGGAGTCCAATATCCAGAAACAGATGCAGCCACAAGTGTGTTTTTTAAACTTGTTAAGCTTACTATAACCACTGCTGCGGAAATTGTATCTGTTCTACTTGTGAGACTAAATGATCTTGGCTTTACCACAGAGTTTTTGTCATCATGTTGGTTGTCTTTTGCTATTGATGGTGCAGTTAATATATTATGCAGGAATGCTGGTGTTGCAGCCAAACTGATTGCAATGTTTATGTAACTGATTGCGTGGTACTATGCAAATTACTGCTTAGAACTTGCAGTATCTGATGTTGTTAAAGAACTCTCAGGAGTGTGCCACATGAAAATTTTCTTTGAGAAGCTATACAGCTTTTACAACGTATCACCAAAAAACTGCAGTGAACTAAAAGACTGTGCAGCCTCGTTGAACAAGCAGTTGTTTAAAGTTTGGTGCCTTTGGGGTAAGATGGGTTGCATCTAGTGCTCGCTCTATCGGGGCTGTATGGCAGGATTATCCTGCATTGTTCAAGTACTTTAAAGCTGCTAAGAATGACAACACATGAAGTACATCAGACAGAACTGAGTACTGGGGCCTGAAAGAATGTAGGACTGATGTTTCATTTGTAACTAATACACCTATGGGCTTGATGTTGGATGCACTCATTGAGTTAGAAGATTTGTCGCTGGGGCTACAAGAACGATGAGTGACGTTGTCAAAAGCACACAAACTAATTGAGAGAAAACATAGGCTATACCAGTCCTTAATCAACAACCCAGGAGTATATCTGACAATGGCACAGGATGTGGCAAATACAGTACTCTGAATATTAGTGGAGCAACACTTCACCCTCCACAGAGTGCGAAGGTCAATGATCCTCATGAATTTTACACATCTCTTGCAGATAACCTTGCAGTGAGGATGTTTGCATCAGTAGCTTCCCATTCAACTAAACAGTCATGTTAAAGCAGCAGTTATGTTAAATACATGTACAATATATGGAAATGATGAAGCACTTAGAAATACTAGATCCAACAAACTGGCCCACTGATCCTGATACTTGTCTTCGTGACAAAGCCATTAGCTACCTGAGTGAACAGTTCCAAGTACCAATGAATGAATCAGTAGAGGAACTTCGTGAGCACATATATGAGAAAGGAAAATAATTCCATTAAAATTTAAATCATTGCTATCTGCCATCAACTCAGTAATCATATCATGCTGTGAATGTGAGCGCTCATTTACCAGCATGAACACTATCATCAGTGCTACAAGAAACTGCCTTGGCATTACTCCTGTTCTTCATTAAACTGGCTGGGACACCTCCTCTGATTTTCAATCTTGAAGAATATGAAAAAAAGTGGATCCAAAAGGGACGGCAGATGAGACTGCAAGCCCAAAACGGAAAATAATGGATGAAATACCGCCGGGTTATGAATCGCTTTATGGACTATTTCATAGGTAAGATATAGTATTTGGGGCCTTTAAAATATTCTCTCTCCACTTTTTGTGGTTATTTACCCCAATTTATTATCACTGTCATCTATTACACATCTAAAAGGCTAGCAGGAAGTTCACTTGCTAATGTAAAGATTTTTTTTTTTGTTCCAACAACAATGGTCTTTCTTTGTTTGTCATGATGGGCGATTCTCATCATCCACTCTCACCAGCATTTTTATGAGTGGTTTGTGACAGTTTACTTAATGCCTAACCACTCAGTACTGAGGATGATGTATGAATATTTTGAAGAATACAAAATATTATGCAAAGTAACCATTATAAGTAATTATAGAATTCCCATAACACATGTCGTCAGTCAGCAGTGACCAGCGAGATGACTACGCGCATTGCCAGTGTTACATATAAAGAAACTATAAAAGTTGTAGAAAAATCAATTAAATTCTCTAATGAGACTTAAAAATATAGAAAATATAACATAAAACTATTAAATAAGAAAAATGAGGAGCATAGGTGTTTGTGTGTGGAAGGTGAACATATGTATAGAGACAGTAGGCAGTTTGTCAACAGTACATCTGACAACTTTGCTTGTTAGGTCTACATGTATTTCAGTTTAAACACGTGCACCTCTGCTGTAAGTTTATTTTATCCTCTTCACCTCTGATTGTCAAGTTAAATTTGGTTAAATTTAAGCTAAGCTTAAAAAAATTACTGTATTTTCTTGTTTCTGCCTTGCATCGGCAGCAATGTGATGTTATGGCATGCATGCACTGCAGTAGCCACATGTCTCTGAGTCAGCTGGATGGCTGGCTTGGCTTCGGTGTGCCCCCAGAGGATGTTTGAAGGCAGAACTAACTAATTTTTTTTACTTAAAATATGAGCTATTGTATTTTATGATGTTCTATGTATCATTTTCATATTCATTTTTTTACAGAACTTGTTATTAATTTTTGGTGTATGCAAAATACAGAATAAGATTTTGAATCTATTTACTCCACATTAAATCTACCAGATAACAAAGTTTCCAAGAATGAAATAGATTTTTTGAACATATTCACTTCTATGCCTGTACGAAGCATAGGACCAGAAATCTGCCAAATCCTGGAAACCTGTTCACCTCAGATCCCAAGCTTGGCAGTTGACTAAAATAGACTAAATTGAGAAGAGAAACCCTTAGATAAAGACTGGTGGAGTGGTACTAAGTTGGTCTTCGAGTTACAGCAATGCCTCTGTAGTAGGAACTCGGGACACTATGGTTGGATGTGATGATTAACAGAAACTTAATTGATCAAAGGCTTCTCATTTCTTAAAACTGTTAAATGAAGAGAAAATGCCTACAATATAAATGGAATACTTACAGGTAGCTCCTTTGCTAATTTCTTGATCATGGTGGTGAGATATTCAGGCAATGTGGCAATAGGACTAGCAGAATGAGTAAAAAAATGGGGTGAGCGACAGGCCAACAGTCGCAAACCTCTCCAACCAAAGTTGCTGTCATTAACCAACCTGAAAAATGATTATAATTTTTACAAAATATTAAATGAAACAAGATGGAATATTCTTAAAATTTTCACACAGTTTAATTTCTATAATACTACAGTTATTCTTATTTTTAAGTATCAGAGCTGGGTATTCTGTACAGGATAGTGCTCAAATTTCATGTTAAAAGTGAATATAAAATTGAAAATCACAATCAGAGGCATAGCTAGAGGTGGAACACATTCCCCCCAACCTTTTTAAAAAGAAAAAGGTCACAAGGCGTGTCAAAATATTAGGGGTGGGGGGGGGGTATGTTTCACTACAATGTAATTGCCTATATGTCAATGGCTTCACATCTATTTGTCCTTTAGCTTTTCATTTTATGTCTGTTTATTGTTGGCCCCCCTAATCCACCATCAAACAGTTGGGGTACCTTGATGGTCACTGCCTGAGTGTTGCCACATGTATCGGGTCACCTGTGAGTCGAGGAACATAACATATGCAGGCAACTGTACATCCTACAGGCAGACCCCATCTAGAGTTACCCCTATTAGCGCTGATTCGTTATAGTGATATTCGTCCTGGAGTCTATTTTTTTTTTTTGTGCAGGGTACATATCATTATCTGATTAATTTTCTGAACCTGCAGGTGTATGTAGTTTATGAACAGAACAGCAAGCTAGTTCTTAAGTTGATACCTGATATAGTTACAGTAATTTGATTTTATGTACACCAGTGAAGATAAAGCCCCTTCACAAATGTAATTGTTCCTAACTGTACAAACACTCTAACAGCACTATTCTTAACCACTTTGTTTCTTCAGTAGGATGATCTAAAACTTGGCAAGGTCATTACAGATGTCAAAATTCATCCTCATTTCCTTGTCAGCCTAAAAATTGGCAATTTTAATGCCTTCACTATGGGGATACAACAAAAATATTTTATTTAGCTAATGGTAGATAAATTTATTCAGCTCAGATGGGACCCCATACACATGGAGTTAGGTGCAAAGGAGCCACACTTTGTTGCTCAATCAATCTTGAATGGGAACTGCACAAAATCAAAAGATTCAGAGAAAAGCTGCTGGAATCTATCATGAAAGTGTACTAAAAGGTTATGTAAACATTCCAGTGAATCCTGCTTATGTTCCATAAGGTTCATTGTGTCATCATAGTCGTGAATTCTAAGTAACGAGGGAAATGAGAGAAACTGCCAGCTTCAGCTTGGTCTCCAAGTATTTGCAGCATGCTGAAAAAAGCCTTTTTAACACCCATTTGCCTTTTCCTTGAAGTTCAGTGCAAGTTTGTTAAGGTGTTCAAACACAAGTCAGAAGGGCAAGTTGAGTAAGGGAATGGGGGCCACAGAAATAACAAATGTTCCTATAACCCTGATCTTGTAGGAAATTGGCTAATTCATTGCAAAGAAGGAAGCCCATTCTCAGGCCTTTCCACAGGAAAGCTATCTGACAGTACTGTACATCAGCAGTGCCCGGTGTTGACTATTTTTTAGAAATGCACAGGTCCCTCCCTAACCGTGAAGTAGTTGACAGAAGTAACTACAGTCTGCAACATGTCACTGAAAATTGGAGACAAATCTTTTGATGACAAACTTTGTTGATGGGTGAAAACAATGGTTAATTTTGATGAGAGTATGTTTTCTCAAGATAATTAAACATAATTCTATTTTCTTCTCCATTCCACACATTTGGTCATGGTTTTGACTGAAATGCAAGCAAGCAGTTGCTCAACTGCAGAGAATTCCTTGAATAAAATTCCAAAGACCAGAAGCTAAGACTACAATGTGATATCTGGTTACTTGCCCAATGCCAGTGCGATCCATGAGGAATTTTTAAAATTTGCAACCCTGGGTTTGGGAACCCCTGGCCGGGGGAAGTTTGATACAATGTGCATTTTTTTTGTCCTATGTTATGCATAATATGATATCTGGTGACAGCAACATGCCATGTATATGCTTCTAATCTGCTGTGCTGCTTTGCATTTTTGCATTATATGTATATCAAGTAATTAAAAAACTGCTATGAATTCAACTTGTACCTAAAGGTGAGAGAACATTCAGTAAGTGATAATTAACCCCTTGTGTCTGGGGGTCTCTCTTCTGTGTTGAATAGTGTCTGGGCAAATAAAATGTTAAATTGGCACCTGTAGTGAAGGGGTTACTATTAATACTATAGTGAGCACATTATCAATATAAAGGGGTCCCTTAGGAAAGTCATGCTAAACTAGCATCTAGTCACCAGTTCATTATTTTATAGGAGAATGTTTATTGTTTGAATTTTTTACCCCAGAATTAGAATTAAACACACTCCAGTCCTTCTAATTGCTATATTATTTAGAATGAAAAATAGTTTAGAAAGCACAGAAGTACTTTTATGTGACTGTGTGCATGTTTACAACAGGACTAGGTAGATGTGTTGTTATTGCCCACTCAGAAAGGCCACACAAACACAGCTCCATAACCGGACTAAGCAAGCATGCAAACACTTTGGAAAGCTTTATATACAAGTATGAGTGTCTCTGTGTGTACCCAGTCCCTTGAAAAAAAAAAAAATATATATATATATATATATATATATATATATATATATATATATATATATATATATATATATATATATATATATATATATATATATATATATATATATATATATATATATATATATATATATATATATATATATATATATATATATATATATATATATATATATTATATAACACTTTAATGCTTAATATGCATAAATATGGCTTAGTTGAACTTATTTTTTTATTTAATAAGGAATTAGAGATTAAAGAAGGTTAGAGGGTTTTACATTTTGTAAAAATGTGGAAAGTTGAAGAGTATACTTTACTGGCCACCAGAATTAAACAGATTCCTATGGGGGTTAAGTCAACTACACCACAGTAAAATAAACATTAAGATATTTTTTGATAAGGCACTGTGGTAAAAAATGTCAGCCTTATATTTTAATGAAGTAATATGGCTATTTATACTATGTGCTCTCCTTGCCTGGGGTTTTAAAAATCATCCTGAATACAACCAAACATAAATTTTACAGCCTAATCAATGTGGTTATTAAATACTGTAATCAACCATCATCATCTAGAAGTGGTACACAAAACTTTTACTTACTTATCCTGTTCTCTCAACTCAGATTTAGGGCTAAGCTGTTCAATGGCAGGAGTGAAGTATGTCTCAAGTGCAGGTACAAAGTCTCGTTCTGGCATCTTGCACGCCTCAAGATTATTTGGTTTCAGATTCCAAAGTCGAGTCATTTCAGCACTGTAGGTAAAAGGAAATAGAGAATAAAAAGAGAAATTAATTTGTTGTCAAATTTTCATCTCTAAAGATACAAATATTCTACACTCTTTCTATCCTCTCACAAAGATAGTCATATGAGACCTAAAGTACAGATTTATACAATAGTGAATACTGTACTTTTATGTAAGTCTTAAAAACATTACAATATTCCATGGCCATATATCTTATATGCAGGTATTGTACAACATTATTATTTAATTGCAGTCTTCATAGAGGCTCAACCACTCACTTAACCGTACAATTATAATTATCTGTGTCTCTCTATGCTTATTTACTGTACAGTTGCTAACCAGTGCTAAAAGGAAATACAACATGTAGGAACAAAACATATCTTGTTACTTATTTTTATGAAATTAGAGAAAGAGTAAAAAACTCTGACTGTCAATCACTTACTTGCCCATGGAGAATTTAGTCTTTGAATCAGCATCTCGGATAATTTCTCCCACTTTCCGTTTGTGTCGTAATTTTTTAGGTGACTTATCTGCATCCTCTTTCAGCTGTAAAATTGCAAAGTTGACATCATCTACAATTATTACCCAAAATTACTGACACAATGAAATTGAGTATTGTACAGTAACTATTATGTATTAAGTGAAAATGCATCTTGTTCTTATGAGTAACACAAAGGGATGAAGTATGAAATCCTATTTTATGGTTGAAGAGAACAGTTTCAAAACTTACTTTGTCCAGGGAGTCATCTGTTTTCTGAGACAGAGACACTAAGTTATTCAGATCATAGTAGATGGTGCAAACAACCTTTCACACATTCAGACTTGGGTTAAGGAACAAGTTCAAGAGTTTAATCAAGTGGTTGCTTTGAAAGTTAGGGAGTCAACAGATACAATAAGCTGAATCCTAAAACAATTTTCTAGACTTGAATCCTACCATCATAAGCTTGGATTACATACTGTACATATATTAATCCACGAAAGTTTCTTGCTACTCAAGAAGAAACCCACCAAAGGAGAAGTAAAAGATTTCAGGTCACTTTACTGGAGATAAAAACAATGATTTTACAATATGGAAATGCAAAATCTACAAAAGGAAACAGTCTTGTGAGTCCACTTTAAAAAAGGACCAAACCTGAATGGTGCACCTAGACACAGCATTCATATCAACTCCCTCTCCTAACAAGGAAACCATCCCAGCACATATATATGTCCAAATTACATTCTATGACAGGGAAACAAGACATCTAAGTACAAGTTCATCTAGAATTTAAAAAATAAATAATATGCTGTAGTTTAATATGTTGAGCCATAACTATTATTCATCTGAAGGAAGTGATTTAACAGTCTTTACAAGTTAAATGATGTTTCTTTTTCTAATCCAATACAAATATTATTTCACTATAATCTTGGTTTTTCCTCCATACCTAATCATGCCCTCTCCCCTTCCCCAAGCATAACCCCAGTTCTTAAAACCCATTTGCATTACTGGCTAAGACTCAAAGAAATGATTATTTATCAATCAAAACAGGATATTAATGGTGTGAAGTACCTATTAACATACAGACTTTATCTTGCTTAGCTTGTCTGGAATAAGTATAAAGTAATATCTGCCAATATATATCCATAATCATGTGCTCAGGCAAAGGAAGAAATATACAGATTTCTTAATATATAGGTAATTTTGCAAGAATGCAGAGGTAAACAACTTGTTATAATGCAGTGAGAGATATTACAGTAAATGGGAACTGCCCCAATGATCTTCCAGTTGGTCAGCCAGCCAGGAGTTGACAATATGTTTAACTTATTGTAAGGATGGTGTAGATCATCGCCTAATTTATTTACAATACTACTAAAACACCAAGCTGATATAAAATGCTGACATTACTGAATGCCACTGGTTGGAAGCATCTACTGGGGTCATCACAAAAGCTTTTACAATTGCACAGGGAACAAAAATGTGTGAATTAATATCAAACACTATGCACCTTACAGTAAAAATGTAATCCAGATCAAGAACTGTGTCAAAGTATATACAGGTTGTCCCCGACTTACGACAGCTTGGACTTACGACCGTCGGGACTTACGGCCGCCGCAGTTGTGACCATTTTTTTTTTTAAATGACGTGCGCATTTTCTATACCGAAACGTTTCCAGTTAATGTAGTCTCCATGTATAATTAGAAAATTATGGGGGCCCCATGTGCATTCAGCTGACAACATTAAAGGTAAGTGCTCAGTCACACTGTATCCATTCCTCATTATTTATTACTTTTACTGTACTGTATTTCATTGTAGATTTTTTATTTAATTTATTTTTATTTTTTAATCTATGTCGGACTTACGACCTGGATTTGGGTCCCTAACCCCGTCGTAAGTCGGGGAGCACCTGTACTGTCCAAGTTAAAAAGTCAAATATATGGAAGCCCTGTTATTTGAAGGGCCTAGGTACTACAGGTATCCCTCATGATACAAATTTTCTAGATAAGAAAATTTTTTAATATGAATTTCATAAACTGACACCACTCTTTCGAGATACGGAAGCTTCCCCCGCTTACACGAATTTTGGTCCGAGCAAAAATTCAAATCGCACACTGGGAGTCAGCAGGTGTGGCCATCTTGGGGAAAGATGGGCTGAGTAAGGCCCTTACTCAGCCCACCCCTGCTCACCCCCTTGTGATGGTGAGCCCAGATTGCCCTCTCATAAGGTAATGTACCAAAGTTACAGTATTTTCTTAATTTTTTCTTGTGTAAGGTAGTCATTTCATGTTTGAGGTAGTAAGTGTACAGACTGTGGGAGAGACAGAGAGAGCGGGTGGTGAGGTGTTGGGCCATACTGTGAATTAGTCCACATGACTTGTGGTCAAATCTTTATGTAAACAATTGCTGTCTAGTGTTGGTCAGTGATAACTACTATTGTTATAATAATCCAAACAGTATTATTAGTAAAAAATATAAGTGTAATTTTTAAGTAAACTACAGAATGTATAAACTTTTACCCATATGAGTGCATTTATCCCATCTTCTACCAAAACTTTCACTTTACAATCATGGTTTCATCGCTCCTGCTCTCTTGCATGCAGGGAGAGAGATAGGGCATATCAAGTTTTGAAACTATCTCCTTCTCCTTTTACCCACACCTCTTTCATTACTTCTAGGAATCGTTGTAAGGCTATTCTTCGTAGGGCAAAGTGGAATTTTATGAAAAGAAAAACCACTGACCAGACTAACTCTTCCTTTAGTAAATTCTTCTGGTCCTTAACCAAAAACATCTGTAATAACTTCTGCACTCCCTCTTTTCCTCCTCTCTTCCGACCTGATAACTCTATAGCCAACTCCCCCACTGATAAAGCCAATCTCTTTGGCACCTTATTCTCCTCTAACTCCACCTTAGACAATTCCAACTCTACCCCTCCTACTCCTGCTCCTCCTACTGAACCTATGCACTTTCCTCAAAGGGTTGCTGGTGTGTTATCCAGGTTGGATGTGAGTAAGGCGCATGGACCAGGCGGAATACCCCCTCGTGTTCTGAGGGAGTGTGCTGAACTTGTAGCCCCTGTGCTTGCTCGCCTCTTTTGCCTTTGCCTCAAAACGCAAACTTTTCCTTCTTCTTGAAAGCATGCCTTGGTTCAGCCCATCCCAAAGAAGGGTGACGATTCTAATCCCTCTAACTATCGCCTCATTGCCCTAACTTCATCTCTCTCTAAGATTTTCTTAACTTTAAACTCTCATTTTCTCCATCACCTTGAATGCTTTTCTCTTTTGTCAGATCACCAGTATGGCTTTTGCCAAGTGAGATCTGCTGGTGATCTGCTCTACTACTGCACCCATCTTTGGTCATCCTCTCTTAGGAATAATGAGGAAACTTTCGTTGTGGCCCTTGACATCTCCAAAGCATTTGACAGGGTATGGCACAAGTCTTTGCTTTCTAAACTTCCCTCTTATGGTTTCTCTCCCCCACTTTGTTCTCTAATTTCTAGCTTCCTTGAGAACCGATCCATGTCAGTTGTTGTCGAGGGATCGACCTTTCGCTCTTTATCTTCCAATAGTGGTATCCCTCAGGGTTCTGTTCTTTCACCTACTCTCTTCCTTCTTTTTATCAATGATTTACTCCACACCACAACTAATTCTATCCATTCATACGCTGATGATTCTACTCTTCACTCTTCTTCACATTTTTCCCTTCCCCCTAATTCTCAAACTCGATCTGTTTCTAGAGCTGATATCATTTCATCTACCAATGCGGATCTGTGCAGCATTTCCGAATGGGGAGGTAGAAACCTGGTTAAATTCAATAGTAATAAAACTCAGTATTTACCATTTAAACTTAACAAATTAGATGATCTCCCACCAATCACATTTCAGGGCGCAATCATTCTGCTGTAGTTACTTCACTCCAGAGCAGTTGCTTCAAGTTTATAAGGGATTCATTTGTCCTAACTTGGAGTACTGCTCTCATATCTGGGGTGGCTCTTCTTCTGTCCAACTGTTAGATAGGGTGGAATCAAAGGTATTTCGTCTTATTGACTCTCCTCCTTTAGTTGATAATCTTTCTGCCCTTTCCCTTCGCCGCAATGTTGCTTCACTCTCTCTCTTTAACAGGTACTTTAACGGGCAATGTTCGGTGCATTTGGCATCCTGTGTACGGCTGGCACACTCGTCTTGCCCACGGTGCCTGCAGTTTCTCTGTGGCTGTCGGTCACACTAGAATAACCCGTTATAGTACATTCTTCTTTCCTCACACAACCAAACTGTGGAATGCTCTGCCTTCTTCTGTGTTTCCATACTTTTACAATCTGTCTCACTTTAAAAAGCTGGTTTTCCGACATCTTCGTGGTGTAGATTAATATGGTCCTTTTTCTTTTCTAGGACGTATGGGAGTGCCATAATCCAGAAAAATACAGTACAGGGTGTCCCTGGGTTACGAACGGGTTCCGTTCCTGAGGACGTTTTTAAGTCAAATTTGTAAGTAAGTCGGAACACATGCTATGTGCATACAGTACTAACAGAACAATGACTAAAATACCACTATATCATAGCCTAAGTCCTTTTTTTTTTATGGTCATTAACCCACTCAGGCACAGGTCATTTTTAATGACCCACATCAAGGCCTTGGGGGCAAAAGTATAATAAAACAACAATAATAATAATAATAATAATAATAATAATGATGATGGTAATGATGATAATAATAATAATAATAATAATAATAATAATAATACAGTATTACCCCGCCTAACGCGGTTTCACTTAACGCGTTTTATCATATACGCGGTGCCTCGCCAGAGCTGAACTTTCACTTAACACGGATTTTTTCCACATATACGCGGTGAGTGTCCGGCTCGAGACGCTATTTTTAGATTTGCCCCACCCGCCACCCTGCCTGACTGCCTGTTTTAGCTCATAAAATTCATACAAATTACCCGGCCAGAATATAATTTACATTGCTGGAATTCTTATAATTTGGTGATCATTTTGAATATAAACATCATATATTTTGCATTAAACATACAATTTTTAGATAAAATTTTTCTCTAGGTAACTATGTTATCTTTTGTGCAAAATATATGACATTTATATTCAAAATATTCCTGGTCTTACAAGGAATCCAGCAATGTCAATTATATTATCCTAACTTTAGTTTGAGGTATTATTTATTAAAATTTAGTGGTTATCCCACACATCTCCTTGGGACGGTTGGTGGGGGGTGGGGGGGAGGGAGGGACCGACCGACCATCTGTTACCCTGTGAAGAATTATTTTTTTTTTTATTAACTGAAGATATTTGTTTTAGCTCATAAAATTCATACAAATTACCCGGTCAGAATATAATTTACATTGCTGGAATTCTTATAATTTGGTGATCATTTTGAATATAAACATCATATATTTTGCATTAAACATACAATTTTTAGATAAAATTTTTTCTCTAGGTAACTATGTTATCTTTTGTGCAAAATATATGACATTTATATTCAAAATATTCCTGGTCTTACAAGGAATCCAGCAATGTCAATTGTATTATCCTAACTTTAGTTTGAGGTATTATTTATTAAAATTTAGTGGTTTTCCCCCAAAAATTTCTCTGAGAGGGAAGAGCCAGTGAGTGTAGTGTGAGAAGAGGGGGAGGGAGTTGAGTCCATTATTTGAATGGACATTAACTTGGCGACTGTATTTCTCTATTTCTCTTAAGTATTAATTGTGTGCATGTACCATCATAAAATTAAGATGTTATTTTTACTACAACATAGGTATGTGCCTTCAAAAAGTGGAGTTTGGGGGTCGGGCCGGTTTCTATTGGAATTAATCCCATATGTTCTGTTGTTCACTTAACGCGGATTTCACTTAACGCGGGACCCTCTGGGTTCAATTGACCGCGTTAAGTGGGGTACAACTGTAATAATAATAATAAAATTTATAAAAATAAATAACAATTATAACAATTAATAAAAATTATAAATAATAATAATAATGAACCATAAATAAATTTAGAAAAAATGAAAAAATATCAAGAGTGAGAAATACTGTACAGTATGTATGTTGTGTTGTCAAAGTAAGAGAAACATTGAGACCCTGCAATTAAGTGTAAATGAGGCAGAAAGTCAGATCAGCAACCTGGGACTTGGTCACAATTTTCGTGATGCCATATGGCAGCAGGGTCTACCATTAGACAACACATTATGCTTCCAATATCTTCCCAGGCGGTAGTACCTCCCTGTTTGATAGCTGCCTACTACCTACTAAATACATCTAAAATCACTTAATTTAAGACAAAAGAAGAAATAGAATGACAAAATACAGTAAATGAAAGTAAAAAATAAGTCATCAGGTAAATAAAATACTGTAAATTTCAAGTTTAACCCCGTTCGTATCGGCGGGCGTTCATAAGTCGGGGATCCCCTGTACAGGTACTGCAGTACGAACAAGAGACAATTTGAAATGAGGTGTTCACCTTTTTCTTGCTCTATCGGTTAATTTTGAACCACACCGTTTATATATAATTTTTGGAGCTAAAAAATAAATCGTTTAACTTCAAATTCTTTGATAGTAAAGTTCTTGAAAGCTGGGGAGCACTGTAAAATGTTATTTACATTTGTCTAAATTTTTCTGATAACTGTATTTTTATTTTACCTGTATCAAAGTGTTATTTCTAACTCCACTATGGCAAGTACAGTCATCAAAACAACAAATATTTGGGACATAATTGATGAATAATGTTGAAGTGTTCTACTGATGAGTAACAAATATGTGAAATGACAAATAAAGGGAAGATGAAAAACAGGAACTCTCTGTATATGAGGAACATTTAATCTGATGTTTTGTGGTGGTGTGGCCAGGCAGAAAAATATGTGGGAAAGAAACAATCTGCACATCAAAGATCTGAATCAAGAGAACTAGTTCAAGGTTCATCCCAATTTATCTCTCGACTCACTACCTTTAAAAACAAAAACTAAATGAAGGACACAGCTCCCTTCATCATCCTGCAAATGATTGTTAACAGAATTTGTAGTGAGCCAAAGAGGATTTCTTCTTTGTCTCAAAATGAAATAGCCTCCTGACCCAGGTAGGTTCTGCCACAGGATTTAAGGGTGTGCATCCTGGCACACTCAAACAAATCTATTAATTTTCATAAAATGTTTGAGTGGAACAAAAAGATTGGCATTTGTAGATGGCACTTAATGAAGACTCTCCATATATTGTATAGTGTGTGAATCAAGGTGATTAAATGAGGACATGAGTTTGGACCATCCCTGGTACACAGTTATTAAAATCTGGTAATCAGTAGATAACTGCTCCTTATTTAACTGTCAATTGCTGACCACTATTCAGCTATCAATCATAATTTTTTTTTTAAATTTGAATAACTGTTGTAAAAACTATGCCATAAAAACCCATCTCCCAGGAAATTCCAGTTACAGTGTCTCCAGCTTCAGGATCTTGCCAACTTAAAAATGACTTGCAAGGTTTTCCTTCTTTCAAACCCATTTGACAACTGTACTTGTAGTGGTATCCCATGCAAAGGAACCAAAATCTACAGATACAGTATAGGTCATGTGGGGACTGACATTCTTTTTAATAAATAAACAAAACCTGTTATATGAGATGGGAGCCCTTTTGTGTTAAAATATTCTTAAATAAGACACTCTCCCTTAAGAACATAGAAATTGTTCACATATAGTCCTTACCTCCTCACTTTTGCCATTCTGTTTTGCCTTTCCTTTTTCATAACCTTCTGGTTTCTTGAATTCTGGGCATCCTTCATTTTTCCATTCACTCCACATTTCTTCTCTCTACAATTTTGAATACAATAAGCATTATTATTTATTAGCATCATTTCAAAAAGAAAATTTAACAACAGAAAGGTATGCGTAGATTAAAAAAATGTGATTAAGGCAGCATTCAGTCTTCAGAGATGAAGTTAATATAATGAAATAGCCCTAAATACTAGGTCAAAGATAAAAATAGTACAGTACAGTACAAGTACAGGTATACAGTAATACTGTACCCTCAAATCTGGGACCCTTGAAACCAAGGCTGAACTGATTTTGATTATTTTCCAGTTCCCTGGGTCAAGTTATGTTTATGCACGCGCACGCACACGCACACACGCACACACAAAATTAGCGAAATCTTCATTTTACTGTATAAATAATTTATATCATAAAATACAGAAACTACAGTACAGTTAATATAGAAGGTGAGAGTTTCCTAAAAGCAAGTTAAACAGAATTGTTTATGTTCCATAAGCTTCTAGTCAGAAAATTTGCCAGAAGTATAGAGTTCATAAATAGTTACTGTCTGATTGAAAACAGTCCAATACCTTATTATCTTCACATTTATTTGTATTAATATCACAGGTTGAACTTAAAAAATTTGAACATCAGTTATTCGAAAGCCTTGAGAAAAAAAAAGTGGTGGCATTTTTAACTACAGTACAGTCATCTCCCAATTTTTGGATAACACGTTTTATGGAACTCACAATAAAGGAAATTTCAGAAAAAAAGCCATTTTTTTCTAAAAACCTAACCTAACCTAGCTTTATACCTAGGAATGTAAATGCAAAAATAAAAATATACCTACCATATTTAAGAATTTCCTCCTCCCTGCCCCCAAAAATAAACAAAAACTGCCATGATAAACAATAAAATTGGTACAACACACATCATAAAATAGATACAATAGCACATATTTTATGAAAAATATTGCTCCTTCCACCCTCAAACCATTCTCTGGGCAATGCACTGTGTATATGCCATGACATCACATTGGGGGGGTGGAGGGGAGGAGCATGGCTACACTGGCAATGCAGTTACAGCCCACTGCCTCCACACATACAGTACATTCACTTCCCACACAAATGCACCCGTGCTTTTCATTTTTCATATTTTATAGTTTTATATTATCCTGCATGTTATTAATTTTTAAGATTTCCTTATCTATGACATTTTGCTTGAACGATGGTGATGTGTTAAGACTTCCCTCTAGTTATGATCAAATAAATTTACATGAATGATGGTCATCGTCAAGCCAATGTAGAATATGGAACGCATCTCTCAGTGCACTGGTCAGCAGCAATTTACCCGCGCACCACCACATGGCCACCTGGTACATTACAATTCCAAGCTTTGTTCCATGGTGATCACACATGCCAGTGATCATGTAGCTCAATGATTATCGGTCAGTAGCGGTGTTGTTAGTAATTATTGGTGTTTTTTGTTTTGTTTTTATCTTACATACAGTGAGAGGGCATCACTAACATTTACACTGAACTTTGTTTTGGTGACTGTGAAGTGATTTTTGCTATGTTTTATGTGACTGTAAAGTGTTTTGCCACTTTGTTGTGAACATAATGGCAACAGTGTTGGCCGCTATTATTGTTTTTACTTTATCCTCTGTTTTTGTGACATGTGCTTTCACACTGTTTTTGTTTCTGTGTAGTATAACTTTGAAAATGTCTGGGTAGGCCAATGCACCCAAGAAAATCAAGTCTCTGGAGGTGAAGCTTGACATTGTGAAGCTGTGTGGGAGTCAGAGTGACATCCCCACTCCACCTACGAGAGTCCACTTAACCTTGAAGGGGATATGTGATGACAACCAGACTTGTTCTTAATGATGTGATAAGTGTTGTTTAATTGTGTTTTATGTATACATATTATTATTGTAGGAATTTTATTTTCGGGTGTCAGACTGGCTGGGAACGTATCCCATTAAGCCCCATGTTACATGTATAATGATCCAGATTTATGATATTTCAACCTGCAATGAGTTTTCAAGAACGTAACCCCATTGTAAATAGGGGATACCCCGTACCTGATTTTTCCAAAAAATTATAGTTTTATTACATGTAACAATGGCAACATGTAGCCATCTCACAGCTAACTGGAGACGTGTGTTATGGATAGTTAGGGATTTCTACAGTACATTATTATACTCACTCAAACCTCTTTATTTCATTAGTTTAATTGTTGCATTACTATGTGTGTTTATGATCAGGATAGTATTAATAAAGTTTGCTGTTGTGAGCCACCAAGTAATGGTGTTGTAGCACACTCAGCTGACTGCAGAGGTAAATGCATAAAGCAATCATCACTGAGTGTGTATTTATGGTATGTATTATATTGTCCTCACTAGAGCCCAATTATGTCTTTAAATACTGATACTTACCAGTAATTTAAATTCAGTTATTCTGTACATTTTATATATTAGTTTATAATTATCTTAACAGTATTTTATTTGCTGCTTAGTGAAATATTAGGATTTTTTTTATAATGACCTTCAGTTAACCAAATATTTCTGTTATCCAAAATGGCTTTGGTCCCAAGCATTTTGAATTTTTTAAGTGCAACCTCTATTGTTTCCACATAGCATTTGATGTTCATATTGGCCATATTAAACCATATATTTGAGGTATCTTAAGCCACCTGCTCCTTGTTTTCACAGGGCTCATGTAAAAATCTAGATACCCGGTATTTTGTATTTGAACTTAATTATGAACTGTCAGTTTGCAGTGTTAAATACTATTTGTTAAAACTACTGTACAATATCTTAGAAACACACTTAAGTCAATACCACTTTAGTTTAAAATGTATAGATTTTAGCTTCTAGGAGTTAATATGTTATAGGTATTTACGAGTACAATATTTTCATTGAAGATTTTCTTATTAACAAGTGATACAAACATTGATAAACATTCAACTATAAATTTATACTACAGTACTGTACTTGTACAGTGGACCCCTGATGTTTGCAGAGTCTGGATTTGTGAATTGGTAAAAGTAAACCAACTCCCCATCATGATCCTGTACCTCGAGTATTCGTTGATTTTCAAGGAGTTAAAAGCTAAGTGTCTTGGGGGGCAAAACATCATAATCCACAAAATATCATTTATTGTAACAGTAAATTCTGGGTAAAACTGCATTCCCTTCCAATATATTACTTTCAAATTTACTTAAACAGAGAATGCTCAATTTTTACAATATTCACCGTTCTATATAAAATTAAGGTAAATTTTCACAGCTGCTTTTTGGACTGCAGATGCTCAGACTCAAGGTGATTCATGAAGCCAAAGAACTAAAGATAGATTGTGTTCTGTTTATTTGGATTGTTGTGAGGGAACAGTGTAGTGGTGGCCTGTGCGAGCAGATGTTGTGCCTGCTTATGTTGCCATCTATTGAGGCCGATGGCAATTACATTTTCATCAGTTGATCAACTGTCTCTGTTTAATATTTATTTATTAAACCTTTAAAAAATTATTTAACAAAATATAAAGTAATATGAAAAATTATAAATGCTTCTCCACGAAATAAAACATTACAGACATCATTAATGGTCTTTTAACACCAGAGGTTGCAGTCCAAGTTAAAGACTCCAGAAAATTGTCAGTTGTGAACTATTGTACAGTAATAACCTACCAGAAAATGCTATTACAAAAAGAGTTGTGTACTATAATAAGCAGCCAGGAATGTTGTTGTGACAGTAGAGTTGTGAACTGTTGTATTAACCTTCATTAGCACAAATGGTGCACATGGTTGCCTCATGAAGGACCAAGGGCACCTGTAATGTTGGCAATGCACTCTCCCTTTTCAAAATACTCAATCACTTCCATTTTCATCTCCAATGAAAAAGTTTCTTTGTCTCTTGCTATCAGCATCACTCTTATTACTTTCTGATCACTTTGCATTCATGTTGATGAAGGACAAGTCAAGAAACAACAGAGAATAGCCAGTCAATGATATGTGAGTGGCCCTGAGGGCTGACAGATGGGAAACTGAAGCATTGAGCCTGTGGAGGTGAGCTGGTGAGATGAAGCTGTGATATGTTGTGGCTTGTGTTAAACCGAAAATGCTATTGCAAAAAGTAACAGTTTCCCTAATTGGTTCCTTGTGCTAATATGAATTTCATATTGTGTAAATTTGTGTTAAGTGGGGACTAACTGTACAAACAAAAGATGAAAAGTTGAAGATTATGGATGAAGCCTACAACAGCTGAAACAAGGATACAGTACAAGGTAGCACAGGATGAAGTACAGTAAATAGATTTAAGTGAATAGCAAAGGCATATTTTTGGAACAGAGAGGGAAATAGAGAAAACTGCTACAACATTAAAGATAATGCTGTAGTATTTTAACTAATGAAGCCAATATAAGAGATGGACTAATTACTTCTTAGACTTATTACATCTGGATGGTCTTGCAAATGACATATGCATTGTGATCCTAGTTGATGACAATGTATGTGATGATATCACAAAAGACAAGATACAGGTTACATTTCAAAGGATGAAAGATGGAAAAGCACCTGGATGTGACATGTTACCAAGTGGGTGGATATGGCATAATTGTCTCTGGCAAATATTTTTGACAGTGTGGTGTACTGGTAAACTATTAGAGGACTGGATCAGTCCATAATGGGCTAAATATTTAATGGAAATAAAACAGTGTTAGAATTACAGAGAAATATCCCTGTAAATTCCTGGGAATGATATATGAGAAAACAAAGCATTTTAGATACCAGGGAATCAATGGAACAAGTAATGAACTAAATCAAAGACAAGTAGGGTACTGAATTGGATAGAAGAAGAGGGAAAAGAGTAATGGGTGCACTGGGAAATGTATAGAGATATAGAACCACATCAAAGGTGGTAAATATGTAGATGTGCACAGTTATTGTTAAGCTAACATTATTAGCTACAGTATATGGGTGTGCAGCATGGATTCTTCATGCAAGAAGAGGCAATTCAAAAATGACATGAATGAAATGTTTGAGAGTACTGTACAGTATTATGTAGGGTGAATAAGGATTTGTGAAACTGAAAGAAGCGTTAGACACATAGTAGATCAGGTAAGTCAGGTAGGACAAAAGAGGAAAGGAAGTAAATGACTGGTAACAAGAATAAAATCCAGAGGTGGATGGCAGGAGGGAAAATGGAAGACCAAGAAGGAGGTGGAAGGATGGGGTGAAGGACTTGACATCATGATGTTGAGCGGTTTACTGGGATGAAAATGGTGCTGATGGGTGGTGGTGTGTGATGTGACAGGAGCAAATGAGATATATATTGGGGACTTGTTATGAAGGAGAACATCAGAGCAGAACATATCTAGGGAGAGAATGTTTAGGGAAAGCAATTTTGTTCTTGCATCTGGCCACCCTGTAATATACCAAGAGAAGACTTGAGTGGAAAAAAAAAAAATCCACGTGATGTTAAGAAACTGAATCAGTTGCATCTGTGAGTCTTACAAATGGTTTAGTTTGAAAATACTAGACACCAAACTTCTACATCTCCCTTAAAGACTTTGAAGTACATACCATTAATATGTGCTTTACTGTCTTCACAAACACTGGACCATCAGGGGGAGTCTCTTCCAAAAGTGTATAAACAAGGTCCTCAGTCTTCTTGACCCATGCTGACTGGTCTTCTGTTAGAGTCTCCCTACAAAAGACAAAATCAAAATTAAGTGAAATTATATCTATGTTATCTATTTACTGTAATAAAATTAACAAAGTACAGTACAAGAGAAGAGATAACTGATAAATTTAAGCTTAAAATCCCATTTTATAGACTTGCCCCAAATGTTATTCACCAAAACAATAATTTCATCTCAACATTTGGGATGGTGTAATACCTCACCAGGTGTTGAGCATGGATATTATTTTTGTAATGAAATTAATAATGACATATGACGTGAAAAACTAAGTGTTTAAAGATATAAATGCATCCGACACTGAATGGAATACAATACAAAACAGTGAAAACAATGATAATTTGCTTGTTGATCGTGTAACAAGTGTCGAGAGCCAATCAAAACTCATCCGAGGTATTGTAGCGACCCTAGAAATCATAGAATTCCACAGAAAGTTCTTAGACTTTAAGATGAACCATCGTGACACCCAGTTAGCTTTGAGAAGTCGCATTGTGGGCGTACGAGAAGCTGAACTCTCTATCTGAGACATATCCCATGAGCTTGGAATATCAGCCGCTAATGTAATCAAATGGATTAGAAGATGTGAAGAGAGTGGCAACCTGAACGACCTTGGTGAGTACTGATCCGAATGACATATTATTGGTGATTACACAGGCAATCAAATATATTTACTTAGTATAAAAAATAAGTGGCTTTTAGTCAGCATTTTCTTTTTGATTGAGAGAGACATCTCCAGCTACGAGTGACTACTCCTGAAGACGATGCAAGGACCTTGAAAGCAGCTGAGGACAACCCTTTCACTAATGCTGTTGCAATTCGCGAAGATCTGCGGCTGGACGTGACCGCTGGAACTGTCCGGAGGTGGCTTCATGAGGCGGGTATCCACCACAGGATTTCCGTCAAGAAAGAACGACTGACAGAGGAACACCGTGCTGCCAGACTCGCCTTCGCTCGTTGACATGCTAACCAGTCGCTGGAATTCTGGGAAAGAGTTGTCTTCACAGATGAAAAGACCTTTGCATCGACCAATCACGGCAGAATACACATGTGGAGGCGCAACAACACTGGATAACAATAAAACATCATTTTACCCAGAGCACCAATTAACAAATGCAGTAAAACACACTAATACAAAGGTTACACCTTTTATGAATTCTTACACTTATGGTAACATTTCAGGAACTGCTGTATGTAAATTAGATGCAAAGTTTATAAATCAAGTAATCCTGTCCTTTAGACCTGCTAAAACTACTAATCCAATCCTATGATATAAATAAATACTACAGTCCTGCCTCTACTCTCTCGGCAAGGCACACGTCAATAATGACTATTCGTGTTTATTTGTCCTGCTGTATTCTACATAAAATACCAAATTGGAACCCATTAAGTTGCAATTTATATACTAAGCCAGAGTAACTTTAAGATAATTAAAGTAAAGGTTTACAACAATACTGTTAGACAAATTATAATGCATCATGACATTAACAGCTGAAATTTTCTAGCAGGTATGACCGTGAGCATAATTACGAGGTGGCTCGTAGTGAACGCAGCACCTGTAATATGTGGGGCTATATGTCTGGCCACAGTGTGGGACACTTGGTTCAAATCAATGGGATATTTACAAGGCAGAAGTATCTGGACATTTTGGAGAATTTTTTCTTGCCCTCTACAGGAAAGTAATTTCCCTTTATCTCTGGACCTATTGTTTTCATTCATGACCAGTGGCCCATACACATGGCTAGAGTTGTCCAGCAGTGGTTTGCTGACCGTGAGAATTTGCAGCTGCTGGATTGGCCTAGTCGAGGGGCTGACATGAACCCTTCGGAAAATTTATGGGTGGATATTGTGAACACTTGGGAGCCTCAGAGGGAAAGAACATCTCGAGAGTTGTCTGCCCACACCAAGGCAGAATAGGAGGTATTTAGGGCCAAACATGATATCCTCCGCAACCTTATTAGATCAATGCCCGAAAGACTTAATGCCATTATCAACAAAGAAGGTGGGTGGACAGGATACTAAAGTGAAGAATTTAAGTCAGTGAAAACAAGCCTTTTCCAGAAGTCCAGAGCCTAATGCCGACAAACCAAGACAAGTCCGCTGGCACGGTGTTCCTCTGTCAATGATTTCTGATACCCAAGTCCAACCTCATATCATCACTTATTAGGACAGCCTTTGTGAAAGCAAAAATCTAGCCACCTCTCATGATCTTCACTTTCACTAGGTCATCTCTCATACTTCTCAGTGAAAATGTGTAATAAAATTTTGTATACTTTATTTTATCATTAATAAGAAGTGAATATTTTATATTCCTTTATGATAACAATCACTACTGTTTCATTTCACGTAATAATACAACTTCCCATACTTTTTTATTGCATTATTCCTAACCTCTCAAAATAAGTTTATTATAAGATTGGGTATTATATCTAAATATTTGGTCAACATCAACCATTGACTGCCATCTGTTCTCCCAAGATATTCTTACTCAGAATTTGTGTGGGAAGGTTAAGATTGCGTGTTTCTCTGGCCTCCAACTTTAGATTAAAAATTACCATTTACAGTGCAAAAATGAGCATTGTTACAACATTGTCTTCACTTGCTACCTTCCCAAATATCTTTGTGTCGTCCGCAAACTTGACAATGCGGTTTGATATGTTTTCATCTATGGCAATTACGTAGATCACAAACTGGTGGGTCTAAGGATAGAGCCTTGTGTTACTCCACTGAGAACTTTTTCCATACAGAATGTACTCCATTTATTACCACTCTTTGTTGCCTGTTTTCGAGCCGGTTGTTAATCCACATAAAAATCTTGTCTGTGATGCCATGTGCCTGGATCTTGGCTAATTGTGTTTGTGGAACTTTGTCAAATGCCTTGGAGAAATCCATGTACAACAAATCCACTGGTGAGCTTTGGTCCACTTAGTCTGTAACTGTTTCAAGGAATATGATTACGTTTGTTAAGACAGGATTTTCTTTCCATGAAAATGTGTTGTGATGCATTGATGAGACCTGAGACTGTGCTCACTCAAGTGTTGGATGATGGCATCCCTCAGAATTTTCTCAAGGAGTTTGCACATTGTCATGGGTGTGTGCTAATTATTCATATTCATATATCTGTATTATCTATGAGCTAGGCTTTCTCCCTATTCAGACTATGGGATTTTTCCTATGTTATTGGATTATACCACATGTCCCACTGTGCTGGGGACCACGTGGTGAGTTAGCCAGGGTGCAGCGAGGTATTTCATCATCCACTAGAAGTAGGGTGCGATCAATTTTGTGCTAAGCCCATGTGTTGTTGCTTGTGTACTCATTGCTATACCATGTACTGTATTATAGCTCATATTAACTACCTATTGCACTCACATAGACAGTCCTATCTTCTCCCATTAAAACCTTGCTTTGTCATATATGTACACCAGGTAAATTAAATAACATTCATCTGGCATGTGCCGATGGGCAGAGCTTACTAGGCCACCAGCGTGGTATGACCCAGGCTGTCTCCTCTGTTCTACAACAGCCTCACTAGAGGACACTCTGTCCTTGTTCCAGCTCTGGCCAGTAGACATGTCTGGCTCAGCTTCTTTCTCTTCTCTGTCTGAGCCATGTGGCCAAGGTTTGTTCTTCCTGTCCTAGGGAATGTTAGACGGGTGTCGGTGGTGCTTATGCTAACCTCCCAATTAGGGAGGAAATGCATTTACATTGTCTCTTGTACCTTTTATTTGTAAATAATGTAAATAAGCTAGATTTACCTAGGTGTTTCTGTTGGTCCTTTCTGCCCAGAATTTTATTCTTCAGCCGTGATTGAGTATTTAAGAACACCGAAAGAGTATTTCACGAAGTCTATCCCACTTAAAGTTAGCCATAGCAGTATATCACTGTTGTCCACCTTTGTGTCTTTTGGGGTAAGTTTGTGTGAGACAACAGGGTTGTGATAATATACAGAATGAGATGTTAAGCTCATTGGGCTGTAGTTTTCTGCTGCACTGTTCCTATCTGTCTTGTATACTGGGGTGACATTGGCCAATTTCCAGTCTCTAGGCACTTTACCTTGTTCCAACAACTTCTCGAATAAGAGTCTTAGAGGGGTGCTAATCTCATCTGCCACCTCCTTTATCATATTGGTCTGTGATTTTTCCATTCCAGGGACTTAGAATTCTTTCAAGCTGGCTACTTTCCTCTTGATGATTTCTTCTGTAATTGCTATCTCTCTTAATTTATTTTTTGCTATGTTATTCTTTGTCTCTTGTGTGAATACTGATGCAAAGTATTCATTTAACCCTATGCCCCGGTTGATGTTCCGGAACGTGCGCCTTTTCGCGCCATTGTTTGAATGCCCAGCGCGGGTTATAAGGTTCCAGCATGACTATTTGGTGGTCACGCCACATGCAGGGTAGCGTGGGTGGGCTCAGTGCGGTTAGTACGCATTAGCCTGTCGCCATGGAGAGTCGTCTCTCAACCTCTCACGCTAAGAGTAGTGTAGTTGTATTACTGGAAAATAATGCTATGATTATGTTATAAATGTATTTATTTGTGGAATTATTATTCCGATAATTATTTATATGCATCACTTTCTCTCCTAAAAACAAAGACAGCAGACATCATGGCGATAGACTGTGTGTGTCGCCAAGCACATTTTATGCAAAATATTGCAAATAAAATAAATTCTGAATGAATTATTCAGAGGAAATAACTATTGTTATCAGTAAATATATGCATTACTGGCCATCCTGGACACAAAGGCAAGCAGAAAATGGCCGCTAAGTGGGTAGTGACCACGAGCGCTAGCCGTCAAACAAGATATCCCCTTATCTCCATCGCCACTGCTGCCACAGGGAAGTTTCTAGAGGGTCAATATATAGTTTTTCTTACTTCTTTTTGATTGTTTTCTCATTTAAAAAGGTTGAAAATTATTTTTGGAAAAGTTGATTTTTCTCGATTTACCCCGCGTAGGGGGTACGGCCAGCGGCACCCTAGCCCGGGGCGTAGGGGTTAAGGTATCAGCCGTTTGTCTGTCATCCCCCAGGGTCATGTTGTTTTCGTCCTTTAGAGAGCCAATAGTATCCTTGGTTTTCATTTTACTCCTGGCATACTCATAAAAGAACTTGGGATCTTTCTTATTATTTTGGGCTAGTTACAGCTTGAACTGCCATTTGAATGATTTAATTTCCTGATTGGCTACATTTAGGGCTCTCTTGTATACTGGACTACATAATCTGCATGATGCCCTGAACTCCGGTATTTTTCCACATCTGATATTTTCTTTTACAATCTTCCCTAGATCTGTGATTTATCCACCTGGTCTTGTATCCTCTTCTCCTTGTTTTACGGGGTAAACATTCCTCTACTGTTAACTTAAGGATTTCCATGAAGTCTTACATTAATTCTTCTATGTCTGACTCCTCTTTAACAAATTCCCCCCAGTCAAATCTCTGTAGTTTGTCCTTCATGAGCTGGTAATCTCCATGGTTGAAGTCATAGTATTCCTCCCCAACTTTCTCTCGACTATCAAAGTATCTTAGTATGTAGTGATCACTGGTTGGAGTTTTATCCCGATGTCTATCATAGGCTCCTCGGTTGTAAAGATTAAATCTAGAATGTTGTCCCCCCCCCCCCATCGTGAGTAAGACACCTGGTCAGTTATATAAAGGTAAGCTACCAGTATTAGGCTAATTGCTGTTTTCCTTAATATTTTTTTTTTACTGTAATTTATGTTAATAAATTAGGTCTTGCAACACTTAAATTGTTAATGAATCTTGAGGGATTTGGCAATGACTTGGCAACCTCACGCACCTCAGTCTTTGTTCAGTCTGCATACATATAACATGTGTTACTGCAGACTGTGCTTTAAGCAATATAACTTGTCTCCAAAACATTTTTATAAGTTTATTTTCATTATTTGTGGTCAAAAATATTTTGATTAAAAAAGTCTTTACGACTAAAAACTGCTGAGTCACTCCACAAATATCATAATCTTCCCTCTTCACCCTCCTTGAAGCCTACATTTTCTATCGCTTAGCAACGTGACTAACATACTGTAACAAGCATTTTTCCCCCTTTTTATGTTTTTACTCTATTAATGAATGATATCATTGAAGTAAAACACTGTTATTGTAAAATAACACATAAAGACTAATAATAATATTACAAATTGTAAAGCAGAATGTCCGTCATGTTGGCATTTTCCAACCTATTGCCCCCTAACTCTTTAATTTCCATTGAATCAACTGTAATTACTGTATAATGAAATTTTTCGTTAACACAATGTTCTTCAGGAATGCAACAATACTGCATTATAGGAGAACAGACTGTACTGAAGGCATGAGATAACATAGGCATGTCATTGGTGGCTGAATTGACTAATGCAATCATGATGTAATGTACTACTGTATTCTAGACAATTGGAGGAAAAGTGTGAAAGCAGGAACTACAGGCGCCTGAAGCTGTTCGTTCAGGCTATGAAATAGGTGGAAAAAGTGATTGCAAAATTATTAAAGGAGAGAAGAGATATAAATGAAATGCAGTTTGGGTTCAGACCAGATAGGGGGACAACAGAAGCAATATATATGGCCAAGCAATTACAAGAGAAATATCTAAGGAAGGAGAAAAAGCTGAACATACTTGTATTTGTTGACCCAGTAATTGTTTGTTAATGAGGAAAAAAGTCAGTTAGATCAGCAACCTGGGACTTGGTAAAAATTTTTTTGATGCCATAAGGCAGCAGGGTCTACCATTAGACAACACATTATGCTTCCAATATCTTCCCAGGCGGTAGTACTGTTTGACAGCTGCCTACTACCTACCTTCTCTTAGCATTAGGGTACAGGCAATAACACAGGATTTCAGGACTTGGAGCTGTTATATGCTGATAGCAAATAGTTTTGAAGAAAAATCTACGAAATGGATGGAAGGAATAGAATCAAAGGGTTTGAGAGTGAATGTAGTGAAAACAAAAGTACAGTATTGGTTAGTGGTATGGGTGAGGGACTCATGGTAGAAAGGGGAAAATGGCCATGTGCTGCCTGTAAGAAAGGTGTTTGCAGTAACTTAATAATGTACAGTGAGTGTGAAAGGTGGGTACACATTCAGTGCCATGGATTGGATGGCAGACTAAGTTTTTTGTATGTGCATGGAACCGAGTGGTCTAAGCAAGGCCAGAGAAATTCATCACTATGGATATGTCCCCTGGACTGTGTCAATGACTCATGTTACCTTGGTGACATGATCCGTGCTAGAGGGGGTGCCGAAGCAAGCACAGTAACTGAAAGAGGCAAAAATGGCTAGGGAAAGTTTAGGGAGTGGCTGCCTTTATTGATGCTAGAGGGTCTTCCCTCCACATGAGAGGAAAGACATATGCAACTGGCACAAGAAGAGTGATGTTATACGACAGTGAAATACGAGCAGTTGAAATGAGAATGGCAAGATGTATGTGCAATGTGGCACTGAAAGACAGTAAACTCTCTTCAGAGCTAAGAGGGCGGGTGGATATTGAGAGTACAGTGATCCCTCGGTTAACAAATGCCTCGGTTAACGAAATTTCAGTTAACGAATTACCTTCCATAAGAATCTTCAATTCGGTTAACGAAATTTTTACGAAATCGTGTCAACATGTTTTCGCCTGCTTTCGCCTGCTCACCAGCTGTAGTATTCGGCCGCTAATACATTAATCGGTTTTAGGGCTTAAATTCGTTTTAGGGCTTAAATTCGTTATCATTTGAGTAAATATCAAGAAGGTTGTACTGTTCAATAATTTTCCAAGTCTTACATTAAAATTTTTAGTCATTTTAACAATTATTTAACATAATTGAAGTACAGGGAACTAGTTTTTAGCGTGCCAAACAGCCACTTGACTCGCCCAGAACGGCGTCAGTTTGTGTCTCTGCTCAGTGGAGGAAGCATCTTGCTTGAGACTCTCTTGAACATAAACTATTTTTACGTTTTTACAGTACAATTATTGGTCATTCTGAAATATATTTTACATATTGACAATATATAGTGCAGTGTTGATTTAAAGAAAATAATTTTGAATTACACCAAGTGAACTTAAAATTTTATGGGTGAAATGGCAGCATGAAGCATGGGGTGATTTCTCTTCCACCCCACTGCCTTCTCTTCTCCCTTCTCCTCCACCTCCACTTCTAATTTCCATCATCATCATCATCATCATCATCAACCAGGAGCCTTCAACATGCACACCTCAAAGTAAGTGTACTTTACTGCATTTATTTTTAGTTTGTATGTAATTTTCGGTGAGCTGGAACCAATTACCCAAAATCCCATTGAAACAATGGTTTCGGTTAACAAAATTTTTGGGTGACAAACGACCTGGAACGAATTGTGTTCGTTAACCAAGGGACCACTGTATTGGCAAAGTTTTGTTTAGATGTAGGCCTAGCTGGTTTAGGCGTGTGGTGAGAATGGAGGACACGAACTATGTCAACATGATTCTAAATAAGGAAGGGAGGAGAGCCAGGGGTAGGATAAGGAAAACATGTGGAAAGGTTGTAAGAAATGATATTAGAGTTAAGAACCTGACAAGAGAGGCTGCAAGAGACCATACAGAATGGAGAGTTGCCATCAGGTAATGATAGACAACTGAAGCAAGTGTGGAAAATGGCCATAAAATGCTGCTGATGAGTTCACTCTCAAAGGTGAAACTGCTTCATCTAAATTACTGTATATAAGTCATCAACTTATCCAAGGTCACTGTTTCTTAACATCTCCACAGTACGGTTTATATAGTATTGTACTCTAAAAACTACCATTAATACAGGAATAATACTACAAATGTATTTCTTACTGTTTAAACTTTATATTGGAGGTCAGGTACTGGGCCAGAATTAAGATCTGCAAGAGTACATAGCGACGGAAATTTGCATCTGAAAACTGAAGGTCGAGCAACTTCTGGTTTGTTAAGTACTTGGCAAAATACTGGTCCACCTGCAATACAAAAATAACACTTGTAAAATACAGCAAAGTAATAATGGAAGTAACAAAAATACATAACATAGCAATATCTCCGTTAGCCGGAATCACTCAAACCCGGAGCTCTCTGATAGCCGGAATTGAAATTTTCGTGGAAAATCGTTCCCAAAGCCTGAATTTTCCGGATGATTCCGAGAAAAAAATTCTCGGTACCTGGATAATTCCGGGGATGGGGGTGTTTTTCTCCGGGTCCGAGAGATGATATAATGGGCAATTTTTGGAACTTCCGAGAAAATTTTTCCATTACCCGGAAAATTCTAGGGATAAGGGATTTTTTTCTGGGTTCAAGAGAGTCATTGCGTTACCCGGAAATCTCTCCTTCCCGGAAGTGCTCTGTACCAAATGTTCCGGCAAACGGAGGTATCATTGCATTATACTGTATACAGGCATCCCCTGCGTTACGGAAGGGTTCCGTTCCCGGAAAATTGACTGTATCGCGAAACCTATTTTCCCACTGACTTCCATTATAAAACTGGAGATGTGTTCCTAAGGAATTTGTATGGCCCCAAAAAAGTAATTCAAGCACTTTTATTAATGAAAATAAACATTTATAAACACATACAATACAGTACATTAAATAATTTATGATATACAGTACCTTCTTAAAACACCAATTTAGGGGTTAATATTGCATAATATTGCATTATACAGCTATGTGTATGTTTATTTGAGTGCCCTGTCATAGGAGTCCATTTTCTCTCACTTAAGAGTGCACCAGGGACTACTGTTTTATTTTTTAGTGGTGACACAGAATTTGATATTGCAACTGGGGTTGCAATTGTTAAGGCAACTTAGGTATGTCTAATTACAGTTGGAATATTCAAGATCCATTGTGAGTGATGTTTAAAGCTTCAACTGTCTTTATGATTGGTAAAACTTGTCAAGTCTGTCAGTCTGAATGGCATGTGTGAGGCCTTGTGTTTGTTAAAATTTACCCCAATTTCCGTAAGGGCAGATTTACAGGCCGTAACGCGAAATTATTGGTCATAATTTACAAATTCCGTAAGAGCAAAATTCCGTAACCCGGGCTTCCGTAACGCGGGGGATGCCTGTATACAGTTGCTAACACTGTTGGATATACATTATACAGTATATATTGGGTAACTCCTTTTAGCATTGAAATAAATATAATAATGTGTTATTTTGCAAGACTTGGTGTATTTGTTCAGTGGGTAAAAATACTGCAATTGGTCTTCCATTATCTTGAGACAGTAAAAGGTAAGTTATTTACTAAACTTTCTTATGAGGCTTGGTAGACTTGTCTCCACTATTTGGGAATGATTATGGGTTGCAGCAGTGGCAACGCCAAGGGGAAGTGAGCACCTACTCTAGAGAATTCAAGAATATACATCCCCCATATTAAAAGTACAGTACAGTCGACCCTCGTTAATTCGGACTAATAGGGGGGGAAGGGTGTCTGTTTTAGCCGATTGTCCGAATTAACCGATTTAGGGGTTAATATTGCATTATATTTCAAAGTCATTGTTTTCGTCAAGATTTTATCCAACTTTCCACTGTAATACGTACGTAATTTCAGCAAAAATATTACATTTCCGTGAATGTATTATATCAAGCACAGTATGAATAGAATATCATTGTAATATAACAGAATTTTAACCGAAAACTATTAAAAAAACGAGTAACTTCTCTTGAACATCGGAAGGTTAGGTAAAATCTTTTGTTTTCGTCATGTATTTTATCCTATTTTACATTAAAATACATCACATTTCAGCAAAACTACTATTTATTTCCGAGAATATATTCATTCAGGCGCAGTTTAGGTAAAATATACGTGTGATGTAACAGTTTTTTAACTGAAAACGATTCGAAAAACGCGTACCCTCTAGCCCTGTTCAAGGAGAGGACTGGGAGAAGCTGTTTGGTGCTGCAGACGATGACAAGGGAAATGATTTGGATGGATTTTAATGAAAATATTCAGAAATATGGTATCGTAGTATTTATTCAAGTCAATTAGGATAGAATATTATTGTAATACAACAGTTTTTGAACTGAAAACCAATCGAAAAGCGATTACGGTAACATCTTTTGAACGAAAGAAAGCGAAAGTCATTGTTTTCGTCACGATTTTATCCCACTTTCCACTGTAATACGTACGTATTTCAGCAAAAATATTACATTTCCGTGAATGCATTATATCAAGCACAGTATGAATAGAATACCATTGTAATATAACAGTATTTTAACCAAAAACTATTAAAAAAACGAGTAACTTCTCTTGAACATCGGAAGGTTAGGTAAAATCTTTTGTTTTCGTCATGTATTTTATCCTATTTTACATTAAAATACATCACGTTTCAGCAAAACTACTATTTATTTCCGAGAATATATTCATTCAGGCACAGTTAAGGTAAAATATACATGTGATGTAACAGTTTTTTAACTGAAAACGATTCGAAAAACACGTGTACCGTCTAGCTGATACTCAACAGCTGGTGGTGCGTCATGCGTCGTTGTAAACAATAGGAGGTTGAAGTAGATTACCGGGTATTATATTAAGTGTGAAATATCAAAAAGGTTTTTATTACCGGTATTTTTTGTAGATCAATGAGAACTGTGATACCGTATATGATATGATAAGTTAGCCTGTGCTAAGAACTTCAACATAGACTACTGAAAACACGTTGTAAGGTAATTTAGCCTATTGTAAGTTGGTGAGCTTCATTTGCTGAAGGAACTGCACAACTTTTCATTACTAATTGGTACAAATTTTACGTTTCCATTGTTTACTGGCAGTAAATGGTAAATATTTTTCATGTCTGAAGCTAAAAGTTGCATCTCACCCCCACACTAGTGGTGATGTTACATTTGACCAAAAAGACGCTGGTGTTTTATCCCAGCAGTGGGTGGACCAGCATTTTAGCTTAAGGTCCGCGTAGGTAATATTCCTACAAATCTTTAAAAAAAAAAAAAAAAAAAGTTTGTTCAGATTTTGTCCGAATTATCCGAAATCCGGATTAAAGGGGTCCGAATTAACGAGGGTCGACTGTACTGTACAGAGAGTCGCAGAGTACGAGTATCCATAGTACACGACCCTGCGTATATGCGACTGAACTGGCCTTATGCTTGGGTTTCACTCTAACGAGCACAGAGTGCTTAGCACTAGTCCATGCTTCTCCGAGAAGAAAAAAAAAAGTAGAACCCCGATAAATTGGACTTCAATATATTAAAATTAACTTTTTTTGGACTCTGAGGTGCTCTGGTCACCAGAAAAAAAAATTGCATATTTTAAGAAACGAGGAAGATTAAAAAAATCTTATGAAAAGAACATTACTTACTTGCTGAATACTGTACAGTAGTCTAATCAGTTTTTCTATAGGCCTATCGAGAACTAAGACACTGAGCATGCAAGCAGGCTGGGGCTGATCCGGTGTTGCCGCATTCATCAGGTTTATTTATTTATTTATTCAGTATTATATTCTCATATGCTTAGCCTCCTTATGGTTTATGGTTCATCATGACTAATATAACATCTTCAACAATAAAGAAAAAATACAATATGTAATTTGTAATATGACTTGAAAATAATAGGATAAGCTGTATCGAAAGGAATTCACTCAAGATGCATTTGTGAGAGCTTTCAGCAGACCAGCTTACAACAGGGTCACTATAACACACAGTATAGTACTTTTAATGTACTGTATACTGTACAGTGCAGTACTATAAAGATAAGAATAAGAACAAACAAGTGCAGGAGTATATTGTATGTGGAAGACAAATGTTTATCTGGGGGCAGCAGAGAGAGTGGAGGGGGGAGTGTGGGTGGGTGGCTCTCTCCCCCAAGATCCCTTTAACATGTCTTTATGAAATTTCACCACAACTTTCATATAATTTAGGATCATTTGGTGACAGGTCGATAAAATATCCTAAAAGAATCAACTTTCCAGAAAAAAGAATCTGACACTGAACACCATGATAGGCTTAGCTACTTACCACAATTTCTGTCTTCAACACTTTGTAAATTACTAAAGTACAGTATTGTATTTATCATCACTTAATAAATACTAATGTAGTGTATTTATCACCACTTAATAAGTAATATTGTAGTATACAAGTATTATGCATCTGGTTTATTCATTAATCAGCTGTCTAAGTGTACCAGTAGGCAAATTGAGCCATCATATAACTCCTACCCTTATTTATTCTTATTTTTATCTTTATAGTACTGTACAGTATACAGTTTTGCTTTATTCATAAGAGAAATTCTGTGGTTAATTACATAAAACACTTTACAGTAAATAACAATCATCTTGGTGAAAACAGTTGTTGACAACCAGACTAATGCATTTCATATTTTTTTTATTGTTGATGTACAAAAATACTTTTAATAACCTTGTTATACACTTAAAGACCTTAGTTGTTGAAGTGCCGTAATAACATAGCAACAACTGATTTTCTTTAAACAGTTCGGATAAGCAGTGTTATCTCCACCCCCCCCATATACAGTAAAACCTCGATTAACCGACCACATATGGGGGTAAGGGGCCGACGGATAATCCAAAAGGTCGGTTAATGGTACATAAAGTCTACGGAAATAAGACAAAGTACCTTTCCCTAACCTACCTCATTTAAGTCCCTCTATTCATTTTTGTTCATTTGCCATTAATATTTCAATAGAATTTGCTTTAAAACATTAACCACTTTAGTAAATAAATATGAACCAACACAGAAACCGTGAATAAAAAATGGAAAAGTCAAAGAACATGTCATCACAAAAATTGTGACAAAGTCCCAGGTTGCTGATCTGACTTTCTGCCTCATTTACACACAATTGCAGGGTCTCAATTATTTCTCTTACTGTTGACAACACAACATAAATATACAGTTAAATTGTTTCTCACTCTTGATTTTTTTTTCATTTTTGCATTTCTTTATGGTTCTTTATTTTTATTATTATTATTATTATTATTATTATTATTATTATTATTATTATCAGTATTAATATTACATTATCGCCGCCTAGGCCCCAATGTGGGTCAGTGACCTGTGCCCGGGTGGGCTAATCCCCGTAATTTTTTTTTTTTAGGGGTTTGGGACTGACGATTAATCCGAAAGTCGGTTAATCCGAAAGCCGGTTAATCGAAGGTCGGTTAATCGAGGTTTTACTGTACTGTACAGTGATATCTCCGTTAGCCGGAACAAATGGCGCAGAGCACTTCCGAGAATGAGAGATTTCCGGGTAACAAGACGACTCTCTCAAGCTGGAAAAAAATCCCTCATCACCGGAATTTTCCGGGTAACGGAAAAATGTTCACGGAAGTTCCAGAAATTGCCCAGTACACCATCTCTCAAAGCCGGAAAAATATCACTCATCTCCGGAATTTTCCGGAAAATCGTTCAAATTTTTATTTATTTATATGTTTTGTGAGTCTACCCCAAATCCGTGCTCTATTAATAAAGTACTGTGAAAGAAATAATTGTCCTAAGGGCAAACACAAAGGGAATATACATTTCTTTGAACACAAGTTAAAATGTACCCCCCGTCAGCAAATTTTATTCGCAGATTTGGTGATTCGCAGTAATTTTGAGAACCTAACCCCCACGAATTTGGGGGGCCCCATGTACTCAAATTAATCACTATCTTACAAGAATTCCAGCAATGTAAATTATATTCTGCCAAGTCAATTCAGTGACATTTTATAAGCGAAAAACTTAAACTCCCTCTATATGACTGATAAGTACGCACTTGGTAACCTCCGTCCGGAAGTCAACATCTCACCTCAGCCCCTCCCCCCCCCCCACCTCCCAGCCAGGATGAAGGTAGTTTTAGGCTTAAAGTTTTATCTTACAAAATGTAGCAGACTAGACCTAGCAGAATATAACTTGCATTGCTGGAATTTCTGCAAGATAGAGATTAGTATGAGTATAAACATCACATAGTTTGCACGAGAGATAGAAATTTTAGTCCTTTAGTGTAGTACCTCTGAGTACAAAGTGAGTACAGTAATATGTTGCTTAAAATTATGGTTTTTCACAGGAAAAAGTCTGTATAACTAACCCCAGTGGTCAGGATAATATGTACTGTATTTTGGTGTTTTTTATATCATTATCTATCATTTTTATACATTTAGTATATTCACCGGAAGATTCAGACAATCAGCTTTTTTGGACAGGTGGTCCCCCCTTTTAGTCCAGATCTTCGAGGGTTCACTGTAGTTAGATTAATCCCGAGTGATTTATGAAGTTCAAATAGCTTGGTAAGTGAAGGCAATTGGCAACCAACTAAGTGTTGCCTTACTGTAAGTCAATTATCTTCCCTCCCTCACTTTGGTTTTTGAGTCAGTACAGTATGTCTAGTGATGGCCAGCAAAAAGAAACACAAATGGTAAGACACCATTTGTAAGTGGTGGCTTCTGTAGCTGGAAGAAAGCTATATTTAAAGGTGTCAGATTATATCTTTATGACTACAATAACACATATAAGGATGCAGTGGTTCAGTGGCTTTGCTATAAACAAATGCATAAAAAGAGGAGCCAGTCAGTTTTATCACAATTAACTGAAACACATAAAACACCGGAACAATATAATTGCTGCTATCTTAAAACTGTAACAACGTTTCTTCTCTTTACTGCTTGACCAAAAAGAGGATATGTTGAAAGTAAAACCAGTATAAATCATGAGAACTTCCTGGAACTGATTATTTTAATTGGTGAACATGATAAGGTTAAAAAGGTGAAGCAAGGCCCAAAACTGCTACCCACAATCACTCATCAATGTTATGGCTAACATTTTTAGAGAGCAGATGAGGAGCGAAGTTGAAACATTAGAGAGCTTTGCTTTAATAGTAGATGAAAGTAAAGATCTGAGTAAGCAGGAGCAGATGCCCATAGCCCGTATATATTTCCATGATCAATCTGTGTATGAGAGATTTCTGGGATTCAGAGATGATCACTGCAACACTACATCCAAGAAGTTCTTGCTCAGAGTGGTACAGATACACAGCCTAATGATGGGTAAATATAATGAATAGATACTTTGAAGGTGTTAGACTATATCAGCAGGCTGTTTACATTCATTGTTTTAGTCATTATTTGAATTTAGCAACTGTTGACAATGTCATCATCATCATTGTTTTACAGTCATTTTCCACATTTGGGTGGTTTAGTTGCAGTTACCTCATGATAGCTCTCCATGCTGCATGGTCTCTTGCAGTCTCTATTGTCAGGTTCCTAAGTCTTATGTCATTTCTTACAACCTCTCCCTTTGTCATTTTTTACCAAACCCTGGCTCTCCTCCCTTCCACATTTAGACTCGTGCACCTCTTGACCCAATTGGTCTCATTCATTCCCTCCACATGCCCAAACCATCTCAGCTTGCCTCTATGCAGGACTTTGCTAATACCCAGCCACCCTTTTAGCTTTGAACAGCGCCTCCTGTCTTACAGTCACCATTACACATACACCTCACCACTCTTCTTTTACCTCGTTCAAGTCTACTTGTGTCATCCTCATCAACTGCCCATGAGTAATGTAAGAAAAACTGTGAAAGTATGGCTGAAAAAGAATGAGGAGGAGGGTCACATCATGAAAAGGATCAGACCAGTGACCATAGGGTTAATCAGGAATCCTCATTTCTATGATGAAAAAATAAACAAACAAAAAACACGTGCATCAGTATTAAATATTACAATGCACTCAACACAAAATAACATATTGGCTATTGAGTTTGCTTCAAGAGCTACAGTATCTACCCAACTATAATCATGAAATAGGATTCATGTTCTTTTATACAAGTACTGTACTCTCCTGTAATGAAAGGTTTTTTTTAATGGTACAACACATGCATATATATACTGTATATGAATATACCTGGGGTTGCAGACTGGAACTTCCTTCTGTATGTGCTGGCTCAGATAATGTTCGAGAGAGATGAGCTCCTCCACTTCCACTACCTTGGACATTGTCCAGTTTGAAACTTTTAAATGCTTCTAGAACGTCTCCACAGTACTGTAATGAAAAGTTTCTCTAGTAATATTTTATAGTGGTATTCATACCCAGTACAAATTAAAGTACTGCATACAGCAGTGCTGTGGTTGTCTTATGACATTACAGTACAATGTACATTTTAAATGAGAGGGAACAATTTTGACCATATATGAACTAATTCCCATTAAGTTATAACAATAAAAACAAAATGTGATCCCTATTTGGCAAAAGAATTAGTTATGTTTTAACATTTAATAGGATGATTATTCATAAAAAGCATGATATAGACATACAATGAAAACATTTGGTGAACAAACTTAATTTTCTGCACCTTTTGTGATAGCTAAGTCTATAATATACACAAGTAAATCAGTGTAAACAATTTACACTTTTGGGTGCTAGGTTCTGTATGAAAGGTTGTCTGCATGTAACAGAATAAAAAGTAAAAAAATACAAACCACTAACCAAAAGTACAAGTTGAAAAATAACAACATAACTCACAGCTTGGCCTGGTAGGGATAGCGCTAGGGGGATGTGGCTACAGTGATGAGTCTAACTTAGTAACATGCCACCAGCAATGTAAACAGATGCAATTAAATCATACAGTTTATAATTTCTAGCTGACTCCGAGATGTATATTGTACAGTATGTAATAATAATATACGTAAAAATTAATGTTTTTTTTAAAGAGCATGGCAGCCTGAAGGCTGAAAATATATGATTGCATAATTGGGGAATGGGTCACTTGATTGACAAATAATATACAAGTAACATAAATAATACAAATATGATATATAATAACTAGGTGGGGAGAAGGTCATACTACAGGGCATTTCAACAAAGTAACAGTGCAAAAAGGTAAGAATGACTGGGAATGAATACACTGGTTGATTATGAGTCGTTGATAATTTTTACAATGGTTAGGAATGGGCTGTTCTTATAGTGATCAGTACGTGCTCGTATGGGCTGGATGCGGTTGTGGTGTCGAACAGCAATTCGCGGACTCGGGATCTCGGGTGGAAGTAGGAGCAGGTGTCGTGGAGGTGCAGAAGCTTTTCAGCAAATTTGCAGATAAGGTCATGGTGATGATCAGAGAGAGCCGAGAGGGTGTGTTGAGCGCTTCTTGATATGTGTAGTAAGAGGGGGAGAGAATAATCTTACATGCTCTCTTTTGCACTTTTTCTAGGAGTTTCCATTGTGTGGCATTTAGGGAGGAAGACCAGGCAGGGGAGGCATAGGTGAACTTGGGAAGTATGAATGTTGAGTAAACACCGAGAAGCTCGGGAGCAGGAACTCCAAGGGACTTGAGTCGGCAGAGAAGGCGGAGACAAAAACTGGATGATTTGACAACTGTACTGATGTGTGTTTTTCAACTTAGTTTGTTATCTATAGTGATGCCGAGGAGCTTTGTGGAGTCCGCAACCTGGAGTGTGTTGGGGCCCAAGGTAATGGAGGGAGGTGGGAGAAGGTCTGAAACAACACCTTTGCTTTATATAAATATTCACCCAAATGAATAACACCAACTTATTCAACAATGAGTCAACCTGTTGTTGACGACAACAGACGGCTGAGTTTGTAACAATCTCAGAGGTCGAGCGCAGGTCAGCTAATTAATGAAAACAGTGGACTCATTTTCACGCTTTGCTCTCAGACAGAGAGAGGGGCAGTAGATCCTTACCACTTGAACAAGGAAGAGACACGTAACTCAAGTGTTATCTCAAAGTATTATTCACAACACTTCCCTGGAGAGAATTCATAATTTCTTCTCTCAGATTATATCTGTATATAAAGCTGCCTGCCTCTACAATAAACCCAAGAAAACAGGTACAGTAAGTCCTCGTTTAACGTTGCCCCCGACAACGTTGTTTCGTTATAACGTCGCTATTCTTAAGATACCCAGGATTCGGATAATGTCCCGCCGATTCAGTATAACGTCGTCACGGACTACTTTGTATGCCACATTTTTTGATGCGTTACGACACTCTCAGCTAGGCACGCTACACTCTCACTCGTGGAGCGTCTCACAGCATCCCCAAGCGTTCCCAGTCTTGGTGCCTTGGGGGACGCCACTGGTGAGTGACTGAAAAGTGGTGACAGCTCCTCGAAAGCGTACGACTTGGCGTCTGTCACTAAGGAAGTCTGTAAGCCAGCTTTATTGATGATTAAAATGTGGTCAATTAGGTCAAATTCTTTGGTGAAATTTTTCGTTTTACCAGATGGCGGTAAAGGTAACTCGCGTTTTACGCACGTTTGATTTAAGCGTTGTTGGAATAACGCGATTGTTCGATTAATACCAAAAGCTAATTTATGCACACCTATTTTTTAAATAAAGAGCTCAAGACAGTTTAAATTTGCCGCGCGTATTCGCCTGGTCACCTGGCAGTGGAGTCGCGTGTGATGCCTGGTGAGGTGCTTGTAAGTTCTTACTATAAAGTTGCAGTCATATCAACATCAAAGATTTTAATATTATTATTAATAATAATAATTATTATAATAATGCAATAATAAAGATTATTACTAATAATGATGAAGATAATGAAGTATTCTGTACAACAACTGTGACGACGTCCATCAAGCTTCCCGCGTATCGCTTTCTCAGTTCACACCAGCACTACTTTTTCTCTGTGCTCTCATTTGCATTGTGTGTTTATCACGTACCTTTTTAGTGTTAAACGCTGTTTTCCCAATTGAGCATGTCTGGAAAACGTCCAACTGCCTCCTCTGGAGCGCCTAAAACTAAAATGGCACGAAAAACAATTGCAATGGACGCGAAATTAAATGCAATCACCCGCCTTCAGAGAGGAGAGCGTGTGTTGGAGGTTGGCCGCATGTTTAGTTTAAGTGAGAGCACTGTTCGTACCCTGCATGGTATGATGGTTCCCCTAACCTGTACCATTTACATGTATTCTTTGGGGGAAAATTATGTATAATTTACGCATTTTTTAATTAAGCGGTGGTTTTCAAGAATGTAACCCCTGCGTAAAACGAGAGGTGGGTGTATATATAGTTGAGAAAGCTGACAAGAAAGCGAGCGGCGGAGAAAGTTTTCATATTGGCAAATTGCTGAAAGTCTATGGCAACTGCAATATCAGCATAAGCCGAATCAAACGCAAAAACTTTCGCAGAATAAGTTGGGTATTGGGGTGATTGCAATGGGTCGTAGATCATTTAAGGATTGTGGACTGGTTGACTTGGGCACTGGTGACACATATGAGGTCTTCCAGTCAGCTGGGCATCTTGCTTGGCTGAGGGAAGCATTGTTGATGGAGCAGAGGGGTTTAGCTAGTTCCGGGAAGAACTCCTTGTAAAGTTTCATTGATAATTCAATGGGGGTGGTGGAGCATTTTAGCTTCAATTTGTCCTGACATTTTGCTACTTCAAATTCTTCCATTAAGTCAGTGGGAAAGGGGGCTGGTAGGTAAGCAGGGAGACTGGTTGTGTCAAGCCAGAGGAGTGTCTGGTATATAATTGCAAAATGGTTGTCTGATTCCTCAGTTGCGTCACCATTAGTGAGATGGTTAAGGAAGGGGAGGGGTGTATCTTACTGTTTAGTCCACAGAGGTCTTTAAGCTTACCATACCATTGACTGAAGCTGGTCTGCTTCAGGTGTTGCAACTTGGTTGGGTTGTGGTTGGGGTCATTGAGATAAAAGGCTCTGTCTCTCTGTTGCAAAATTTTTTTTGATCCGAGGTGTGATCCAGGGCAAGTCAGCTGGGTGTGATCTGACGGACTTCTCGAGGAAGTGGTGGTGAGCTTCCGTGGTGGTGTTGGTGTAATTTATCCATTTGGTGTCCACGTCATCCACACTAAGTACTTCAGTCCAGGGATGGTGAACTATCAACTGCCTGAAGAGACACACTGCAGAGTCAGTAATTGGCCTGTAGGTCTTGATGTAGGGTCTCTGTACTTGGCTGGTAGTGGGAGCTGGAGACCAGAACACTGATAAGTGTGTGCTACATCCGATAGGAGTATTTGGTTGAGATAGTTGGTATTGGTCCACAAAGTCAGTTAAGATAAGGTCAAGGGTATTTTGACCATGTGTGGGGAAGTTCACAGCTCTTGATAGTAGCAGCTGGTCCTGGATATCGGTGGTGTCAATTTCGTTATAATCCCCACATACTGTAGTACTAGCTTACCACAAGGGTACCTAACTCTAAGGTGGTAATGAGGTGATTGATATGAGTATCTCTGGTGGGTGAGTGAGGTGGATGGTATGCCACACAGTATATGATAGAAGCAGTGTGGCGAGGGTGGGCACGTGGCATAACACGTACCCATAATGCCTCCACATCAGCTGGGACTAAAACATCCAGGCATGACGGGCGTAGTTCATCTTGACAGAAAAGGGCAATGCCCCTCCACGTCCATGTGAAAGAAGGTATTGAAAGAGCTGATATCCCTTAATGTGGCACGTTTCAGGAACAATTTGCCACAATTCGTATATGGCAACAATGCTGACACCAAGTGACCGGACTGTGGTTGCCAGTTCGTCAAATTTATTAGCTAATGAAGTGACGTTGGAGAGCAGCAAGGAGGGGAGATCAAACCATATTCGGGAACTTCGGTGTATTGGTACGGTGTCAGGAGTTTTCTAGTGGAGGTGATGGTCCTAATGGGCTTCTGTTTATGACGCCCTTGTCTACGGCTGCATGCATGGAATATGCTCAGTGATTTTAGTAGTGCAATAACAATGCCATCAGGTTATCCATTCCCACACTTTAAGGGGAGGAGATGCTTTTTACTTAGAGTAGGACATTTTGATTTATTAAATTTTCCTATTTTTTTATATCTTATAAGGGGTAACCTAAAATGGAAACTCTGTAACTTTCATTGAAATCGGTCAAACAGTTTTCTCGTTAAAAAATAAAAACCGTCAAAATATATTCTAAAAAAAGTGGTTACAGGTATATATAACAAAATAGCACTTTTATTTTTAGATGAATTTGCCTCTGTATTAACCAAACCCACAGCTATACCACCTTCCCTGTTCAATTTTTATATCTATATTGTTCTTAAGGAAAAAATAAATAAAATTCAGCATTAGAAACAAACATATATTTTATTAAATAACAAAAATCCTATTTTCCTCTCATTTAAAAAATAAAAAATGTACACGGACCATAAAAATTCTGCCTCTTTTCCTCTTTCTGTACATATAGTTTCTTTTATGATCCATTGAAAGACAAGGGACTAATTATGTTTCAAAGAACAATAACTTTAGTTTTGAGATATGAGCCGTTTCCCGGGGAAGTATAACTTTACGATGACTACCTGCAAATACAACTAATCTACGGGTACAAGAAGTACTTTGGGTGGTGATAATGTTTGTTATTAGTTAGGATTAGGACTGGGTACAAATTTCTAACCAATCTTTTACAGGATATTACTAACTCAAGGTGAAGGTGTCAGAAAAGAGGAGAGGGACACAGCGCTGATTGTGGTGTCGAAGCCATCATTTTTTTCATGTATTCTGACATCATCAAAACATGTAGAAAATAAATATACTGTATTGCATTTCACACACGCCCCATACTTTACATCACTGGCTACACGTAGACTTAGTGATGTACAAGAATAATGGACCGTTATGTGTTGTGGGTTAAAAATGGAACATACAGCGTAACTGAGAGTATATACAATGCAAAGAAGGCGCATGATGTGGCAACAGTGCACAGAGTACTATGCAGGGAGAGGCTGACAGCTGGCACCCATTCCCATGATGATAGACTTATGCCACACCAAAAGGTCCTTATATTGGAATGCCAGTGCTCAGCAAGAATTTGTTTTTGTTTTTTATTTTTATGTTTATATCTTGCAGCGAAGTATGGGTTAAACCCTAAATGTAGTTGTGAACACCGTACAGAGCCATAATTTTTTTTTAGAAATGTGTTTCAGATTACCAAGACAAATCATCCATGATGGCTATTCACTGATAATTTTTGTAGCTGGTAAATCATCATGATAAATGATGTAAATGGGCTTGAGATAATTTTAGGCGAGTGTACTTTTTACTCTTTTACTCAAGTAATTAATTTCATATATACTTTTTTTTACTTTTACTTACCGTATTTTATGGCATATAAGCATTTCAGCAGGGAGTATTTAGGAAGAAACTTTAGTGTGTAGTTTCCTCCTGTAACCACAGTTTTCTTAGAATAATATATACAGTACCAGTAAATGTGAGGAATAAATAAAAAGAAAATACCAATAAATAAGTTACTCTGTACAACAAAAAATACTGTATTGCCAAGCCAGTAAGTAAAAGCCAAATGAAAGTTTAACACAGTCGCTATTTGCATACGCAGTAGTCCTTGGCTCACCATAGCAACGCAGACGCCACATCCGCCGATTCCCTAGCAACGCTCCCTTCCATATCCCGCCTCCACCCTTTACACGTTTCTCCTTATGACAATTATTTCTTTTACTTTTTTTCACAATATGTATGTAGGATGGTGTGTGCATGTAACCGAGTAAAAATAAATGAAGAAAGTTAAGTATATTTACCCTAAAATGCAAGTTGAAAAACAACCACAACACCAGTAGCCTGGTGGTTATAGTGATAAGTCTAACCTGGCGACAATATTGCCAGCGATGTTAACAGACACAAATGAGAAAAGAAATTTATCTGTAAATCTTAATTTGTATCAGGTATTTGAAGATTTAAAAATAAATGTTGCAGGTATGGCATTAATAGATTATAATGGTTGTAAGAGTTCAGAAATGGTTACTGCTTAGCTACATCTGAAGAGTCAGGTGTTTGCCATGTTAATCGTCTCAGGTTATCATCATCAGTACAGTAGTTATAAATCAAGCTTTTTTGTTTACAATAATTATTTCTTAATTAATTAAAAATAATAACAATGTGTTTAAGTAAGCTGTGCGTCTAATATGCCATAAAATACGGTAATATTCGATACTGTCTTATAAAAAAATAAATAAAAATCTTCACTATTTACATTGCTTGATTAATAAGATCATTTTCAAGAACGTAATTATGGCGTAAATCAAGATGTTCCTGTAAGGTAACAGTGCCTAAAATCATAATAAGAAGCACTTAGCTGCCTGTCATGTTGGGGCAAGAGCTGAGCAGGTCTATGCTGTTCAACACTGTGACTATATCTGATCTTTATTAGTTATTTTGTAACGGACTGAAACAAAAGGAACAGAAACTCTCGGCCTTTTCTCTGGGTGTCTTTTTGCCAAGTGTCTCTATTCTGTACACAGGTGAAGGATGGTTTTAATTTTACACTTTTATATAATTTTCAGATTCCAGTCACAAGATATAAAACAGATACTGAATATTAGATCAACAACAACTAGTTCATGTAGAAACTGACCATGGTAAACATCTTCCATGGTGCTTTCTGGAAACACTGCACCGGGTTCCTGAAGAAATCCTGGAGTGACCAGAATTTTGTATACAGGGTGTAGTCAAGACATAACCGATTGTCTCCTCCTTTTCCTTCATCTAAAACACACACAGAACAAAACAACAACATGAAAATCTTGATCAACAGTATCCAAACAAGTCTGTATTATGATAAAATACATGCAATTCCAAATGTAAATACCTGTACATTGTAAGAATGAAACCTTTTATAACTAATGACCCTTTCATCTGTACATTCATTTTCACCTATATTCTTCTCTATATTACATTTCTACAATAATAAATTAATACAATTACTGTCATTTATTCAGAATTATGAACACCATTATCAATCATTAGTAAATTGGTGTGTGTATATATATATATATATATATATATATATATATATATATATATATATATATATATATATATATATATATATATATATATATATATATATATATATATATATATATATATAGTTAACCCTCACTTTACGCGGTCCCACATTCCGCGTTTCCACGTTTACGCGGTGCCCTGCCGGAACCCAGGATGCTCACATTCCGCGGTGCGTGTACCCCTTTACGCGGAGAGCGGCTGGCGAGCCGCGCCATTTTTGGATCCAAACCTCCCGCCATCCGCCATGTTGTGTAAGCTGCGCGAACATGGTGCGCACAAGGTCGCCCAGTCATCAAAACATTACCAGTTCTTCACCCACCACAGCCGGCCCAAGTCAGTGATAGTGATAATTATGGTGAGGATATGGACTTATATGGACTTTGGGGAGTTTGACAAAGAGGCCCTGCAAGCCTCTGTGGTGGATAGTGATACAATTGATACAAGTGACACAGGTGAGGGCCAATAATCTGCCCTCTGCCTCGGAACCAACCGCCCATCCCCGTGTGCCCAGCCATTTTTTCTACTAATGTAAGTGTTAAAAAACCTAATATTATTGATATTTCTCTTAATTATTAATTGTGTGTGCATACCATCATAAAGTTAAGATAATATTTTTACTACAACATAGTTGTGTGTCGTCAAAAAGTGGAGTTTGGGGATCGGCCCGGACTCCATTTCAATTAATCCCATATGTTATGTTATTCACTTTACGCGTTTCTCACTTTACGCGGGACCCTCCGGGTTACATTAACCGCGTAAAGTGAGGGTTAACTGTATATATATATATATATATATATATATATATATATATATATATATATATATATATATATATATATATATATATATATATACACCTAGACCCCGACTTACGACTACGTGGACTTACGACCGTCTCAGATATAGATAAAAAAAAAATAAATAAATAAAAAAATAAATAAAAAAATAAATTTTTTTTTTTTTTTTTTTTTTAAATGACACACGCATTTTCTATACTGAAACGTTTCCAGTTAATGTAGTCTCCATGTATAATTAGAAAATTATGGGGGCCCCATGTGCATTCAGCTGACTACATTAAAGGTTAAGTGCTCAGTCACACTGTATCCATTCCTTATTATTTATTACTTTCACTGTACTGTATCCATTCATCATTATTCATTACTTTTACTGTACTGTATTTCATTGTAGATTTTTTATCTATATCGGACTTACGACCATATCGGACTTACGACCTGGATTTGGGTCCCTAACCCCGTCGTAAGTCGGGGTTTAGGTGTATATATATATATATATATATATATATATATATATATATATATATATATATATATATATATATATATATATAGTTGTACCCCACTTAACGCGGTCAATAAAACCCAGAGGGTACCGCGTTAAGTGAACAACAGAACATATGGGATTAATTCCAATAGAAACTGGCCCATCCCCAAACTCCACTTTTTCCGACACAATACCTATGTTCTAGTTAAAATAACATCTTAATTTTATTATGGTACATGCACACAATTAATACTTAAGAGAAATAGAGAAATACAGTCGCCAAGTTAATGTCCATTCAAATAATGGACTCGACTCCCTCCCCCTCTTCTCACAGTACACTCGCTGGCTCTTCCCTCTGAGAAATTTTGGGGGGAAAACCAGGTATAGTAATAAATAATACCTCAAACTAAAGTTAGGATAATATAATTGACATTGCTGGATTCCTTGTAAGACCAGGAATATTTTGAATATAAATGTCATATATTTTTCACAAAAGATAACATATTTACTCAGAGTAAACATTACATCTAAAATTTGTATGTCTAATGCAAAATCTATGATGTTTATATTCAAAATGATCATCAAATTGTAAGAATTCCAGCAATGTAAATTATATTCTGGCCGGGTAATTTGTATGAATTTTATGAGATAAAACAAATATCTTCAGTTAATAAAAAAGAAAAATATTCTTCACGACACTATCTCTCAATCAAAGTACCCCACCTTGCCTCCCCCCCTCTTCCAACCCAGCCAGATGGTCAGTCCGTCCCAACCCTCCCCCCCACCCCCCACCAACCCTCCCTTCAAGAGAAAGGGTGGGTGAAAAAACTAGATTTTAACATTTAGTATTAAATAATACCTCAGATTAAAGTTAGGATAATATAAGTGACATAAGCTGGATTCCTTGTAAAACCAGGAATATTTTGAATATAAATGTCATATATTTTGCACAAAAGATAACATATTTACTCAGAGTAAACATTATACTATCTAAAAATTTTATGTCTAATGCAAAATATATGATGTTTATATTCAAAATGATCATCAAATTGTAAGAATTCCAGTAATGTAAATTATATTCTGGCCAGGTAATTTGTATGAATTTTATGAGCTAAAACAAATATCTTCAGTTAATAAAAAAAAATATTCTTCACACATGCCAGGTGGTCTGTCGCCGGTCCCTCCCTCCCCCCACCAACCGTCCCTACCAGATAAATGTGTGGGAATACCAGACTGTTTACCTTTTTAGTAATAAATAATAAATCAGACTAAAGTTAGGATAATATAATTGACATTGCTGGATTCCTTGTAAGACCAGGAATATTTTCAATATAAATGTCATATATATTGCACAAAAGATAACATATTTACTCAGAGTAAACATTATATCTAAAATTTGTATGTCTAATGCAAAATCTATGATGTTTATATTCAAAATGATCATCAAATTGTAAGAATTCCAGCAATGCAAATTATATTCTGGCCGGATAATTTGTATTAATTTTATGAGCTAAATAAAAAAATTATAATTCACCCGCGTAAAGGGGTACACCCACTGCGGAATGTGAGCATCCTGGGTTTTGGCAGGGCACCGAGTAAACGTGGAAACGCGGAATGTGGGACCGCGTAAAGTGAGGGTTGACTGTATATATAAAAGGAGTAATTTCTCATTCCTTCAATGTTTCTTAAGCCACATTTATACATATTTCAGTTACAGACCATCTCAAAAGCTACATATAGTACCATTTAGTGACAACTCCAACCCTCAAACATTTACTAACAAATTTTGCCAGTTGATTGTGGAGAGCTCTAATTGTGTGCACCAAAAGAATTGGAATAGGTGAAAAAAATGATGGATATTTCACTAAATAAAAGCATTTAAAATAATCAATTATTAAAAAGAAAAGAAAAAAGAGTTAAATATAAGAAGAGCAAATAACATAAACAATAAGATACACAATTCTCTGAGTAACAGTTTGTTGATAACTGGATAATTTATGGTAGACCAAGAAATGGAGGACTAAACTGTGAAATCCCATTTTATTATTGAGAACATTTTGGGTGACATGTTTAAGCCCAGTACTTAGTCTATGCACTAGTGTCATCTCTCAGTACCTCGACAGAGTTGCAAAGAGGTGTTAAACAGTCACTCCTTCTAGCCATAAGTAGAGCCCTAAATAGTCCAGGTGTAATAGTTCAAATAGACCTTAAACTTGGAACAAATTAGTAACAAGCTGAAAATTGCAGGAAAGATTAATAAATGTGTAGTATAAACATATCAAGGCCTCCAAAAATTTACAAGTGCTAACTTGGGAATTCTAGATGGCATCCAAAATGACTGCCATTCTATAGTATATCATATATTAGCCACCAGACATGATAAAAATTTGAACAAGGTATCTAAACACAAGTTTTCTGACACGAGCAATCCTTTAAAACTATTAATTACAATATAAAACAAAACAAGATTGCTGCCATTTTATTTTACCTTATATTTGCAACCAGACATAATATTTGATAAATTATCAAGGGAAAACTTGGGATTTTTATTTGATATTACATTGGTATGCAAAAAGCCCATCACAGTAATAACTGAAACTCTTAATTCAAGCTGAAAGGACAAGAGACTGGAGGCTCTACCTCTTCTGTGTGAGGGAAATGATTCCACATTTCCAGGCTGCAGGGCATCTGCCAGGTAGTATCTCCAACAGATGGAATGTTAAAGCAAACCATAACTGTAGACGACTACATACTATTTACAGAAAAGGGCTAGTTTACAACCTGTCGTAATAATGCATTCTGGGGTGGAACTTTTATAACCAGACCAATGATCTGTCTTTGATATGAATGTTGAAAAAATCTGAAAGAATGACACGCGCTTGTGGTGTCACGGACAGTATGCTGATAAAGTAGGTCCGTGCACTACCCATCTGTGATTCACTGGAGCAGTTCACAGGGGTGCACACTGCTACCTTGGAGCTAAAGCACCAAATCAAGGGACAATAGGGATCATACCATCTTTATTCAGTAGCTACAGGCACACCAACCACTTTATGGATATGAACCAAATCTGTCGACTGGCATTGTTGCAGATTACATTTATGAGCTGTGATGATGCTGTAGAAATTGGTCAAGCAGTGACATCACAAGTGAATGGCAAGTGGTTCAGAAACATCACGCTCCTCCGTAACAACAAAGTGAAGCCTATTAGTGCCATGAGAGAGAGCATCAATATCAGGGGTCAAGATATAGTAGTCAATCCAAGTCTCTTCTTCAAAAGAATCACATTTCTCAATGACAGTTCAGAGATGGGAGAGTTTTTGACTTACGAACTTTCTCCTCAGCAACCTTCCCTTATCTGTGGCGGTGTCATGTTGAACTCAGCAAAGAGTTCCTTGGGTGTCCTGTTGAAGTCATTTATTACCCAGCACTTAGTTCATAGAGTTTTATGGCCACAACCATCTACTTATTATGATGCACAACAGGCCTATATTTCATAAGCATTTCAGTGCTGGATCAAGTGTAGTATTTGATGTATATGGTGCCACCACATCAATAAAGGTAGCTGAGAAGTGATGAAGAGCACCCAAGTGTACATCCAGTGATATCATATTTGATGATAATATGTTAACCACCACTACTCAAGCAGCATTCTCGGCCAACAGTAACAATAAGAAGAGATGTTTACTGCTGGCATACATGTCAAGTAGGCTGATGCAAAGCCACTATAGAGTATTTTAATGATTTTTCCCCAACATTTATAGTTTCAGAGGAATAAGTGTTAAAGAAGTCCATTTTTCTTTGACAAGAATTTGTAAGGTCAGCCTATAGCACTGTGCAATGTCAGATTTATTGGGAGATCCTAAGAGTGAGTTTCAACCAGCCGGAAAAACTCTATTCGGCATCTCTCAATCCCGTAGGCGCCGAATAACTGGGATTCTACTGTATATCTTTTTCTTTTGTGTATTTTGTCAAAATAAAATTAAGCATTGAAACTTGAATTATAATTTTTTTTTGAGGGGGGGGGGGAGGAGGAGGGGGATTTATTTTTGTGGCATTTTATATTATCTTATATCAGCTATATAAATTTCATAACCGTATGAAGTGAAAACTAAATTACAAAAATATAAACACTAATTTTTAGAAGAATAAAGGTACCCTGTAGCCTTTTGTGGAACACCCCTGAATCTATTGTGATCGAAAGGGTTAACCTCAATGCACTTTACAAATGAGCCTTTACTTGTCATGTGAACCCAATGTAGCTTATTATAAATATTTTATGTGTTTATACAGGTTCACTAACATTAAAACACCATGATGAATTACAAGGTCTTCATTTTTCCTCAGTTTTATTTACTCTTTTATCTGTAACCAAAAAAAATAGTAAATAACTTCATTAAACAGCTAAACTAAGAGAATCTAGCTATAAAAAAAAAAAAAATAAATAAAAATAATGCATACCATCATCATCGTCCATGTCTGTAGTTTCCACATTGGTAAAGGTCGTAACATTTTCCAGGTTGAATTCAGACACCAGGTTAAGTCCAGATCTCTCTGAGAAGGGGAAGAATCTGGCCAAGAAGAGAAGAATACGTCCACAGAACACAGTGTTTTGGGAACGCGAAAGTCGGCGTAAAAGATCTGTAAAATACCAAAAGTTGATTATTGGTTGAGGGAATATTGTACTTCCCAAATTATGTTATTTAGTTTCATAAGAATTACGGTATGATAATGTCTAAATATTGCCGTTAAGCCAGTCTCACTTGCCCACAACACCATAAACTTAGGAGAAACAATGGAATGCTAAATTTTTCTTTCTGGTACTTATCTTAGTGTAGAAGTAATTAATGAGTAATTTTTTAAATAAAAAATCTCCCCTTCCTTCCCTTGTCTCAGTGCTCCACCTCTCTTACCTCCTTCTTTTTGCTGTAACTAAGTTACAGTGTTCATTATGTTTCAGTCAGTAGTGATAATATATCAATTCTCTTCACATTCTAACAGCTTATGCAACCATAATTAGCAACTTAAAGGTAAATTTTCCCATAGATTATTAAGATGTATCTCTTCTTTAACTGTGTAACCTCTCAGTGAGTTAAACTATGCCAACTCTTCCCACTACTGTACATCATATTTTCAAATACAGTAGTTTTTTGTCTAATACTTTATTAAGATCATTCAGCCACTTATTCTTTCTTCAGGTTTTATAACCTTTTACTTTTCATTCATTCATTTCCTTTTGTCATGGAAAATTTATACAATATTATTTTTGTTGCTTTCATATACAGTGGTCCCTCGGTTAACGAGCACAATTCGTTCTAGAAGGTTGCTCGTTAACCGAAACCATTGTTTCAGTGGGTTTTTGGGTACCGGGTAATTGGTTCCAGCTCACCGAAAATTGCCTAAAGTCAACAAATATGGTAGTAAAGTATACTTACTTTGAGGTGTGTATGTAGAAGGCTCCTGGATGATGATGATGATGGGAATTAGAATGGGGGTGGAGGAGAAGGGAGAAGAGAAGGCATTGGGGTAGAAGAGAAGTCACCCCATGGCGCCATTTCACCCATAAAATTTTAGTTCACTTGGTGTGTTTCAAGATTATTTTCTTTAAATCAACACTGCACTGCATTATATATTGTCAATATGTAAAATAAATTTCAAAATGACCAATAATTTGACTGGAAACACAGAAAAAAACATTTATGTTGAAGAGAGTCTGAAGCAAGATGTTCCCTCCACTGAAAAGACAGAGACTGATGCCTGTATGGTGTGTTGACAGGCTGTTTGGCGTGCTGAAAACTAGTTTCCCTGTACTTAAATTATGTCAAATAATTGTTAAAATGACTAAAAATTTTAATATAAGACTTTTAAAATTATTGAATAGTACCTGTACAAACTTCTTGATATTTACTAAAATAGTAAGGAATTTAAGCCCTAGAACCGATTACTGTATTGGTGGACTAATACGACAGCTAGTGTGCAAGCGAAAACATCTTGAGGGACGCTCGTAAGGAATTCGTTAATCGAGGGAATGCTCGTTAACCGAAGTTAAGAATCTTATGGAAGGTAGTTCGTTAACCGAAATTTCGTTAATCAAGGCGCTCTTTAACCAAGGGATCACTGTACAGTAATGGTCATAAACTCTGTACACATCCCTCTCAGCACATTCACATCACTTCCCTTTTATTTCAACCCTCTATCCACCAATACTATAACTTTGATTTGAGAAAAAGGCTGCTGAAAGGCTTTATATGGCAAGGACTATTGTATGGGTCAGATGCGTGGACACTTTCAGCAGACACCAGAAAATGTTGGAGGCCTTTGAAATGTGATGTTACAGGTGAATGTTAAGAGTACGCTACACTGCCAAAAAACAAAAGAAGAAGTACTAAGATTCTCAAAAAAAATCAAGAGAAACACTTGATATATAAATAAAAATAAAAATGAGATACTTTGGTCCTATAATTAGAGCTGATAGGATAATAACAAATATCAATGGACAAACTTGAGGGTAGGAGGGCCAGGGGAAGGCAGAGACTTGGATGGGTGAATAAAATTTAAAACTGGGTCCCCAGAGATACAAAACCTTGAAGGTTTGGTAGAAACAGCTTGAGAACATTTAGAATAGAGGAATGTGATCATCAACCCTCAGATATGAGGACGGTATTCTGATTGATTGATCGACTATACTACAGGTGTTGACTGTTATACGATGGTCACTACCTGAATGCTTTTCCTGCCTTGTTACTGCTATGAAAATGTGATGTGCAATAACTCGCAATATTCCAAGATATGATGACGCAATCTCATAATGGTGTAACACATGTGACCTACGTGGGATGCGTAGGATGTTCTGCCCATCTCCAGTGACTGCCAGGCTGGACAATTGGACTGTGTCATGTCGCCCAGAGGATAGTTTGCATGCGGAAGAAGTTATTCTTTGTACATAAAATTATATACCTATATACTGTACAGTAAATGTGAGGAAGCATTGCGAAACTTAGTAATGACTATGGGATGGCTAAATCGACTATATGTACGATTTTGAAGAATAAAGAGGAGTTAAAAACTGTGCAAGTGGCTAAGGGAATCTTTAGACTTAGCAAAGCAAGGTGTAATGTGATTGAAGAGATGGAAAATTTACTCTTAGTGTGGATAAAGGAGAAAGAAATGGCAGGTGATAGCATTAGTGAAGCTATAATTTGTGAGAAGGCCAAACAATTGTTTGAGGACCTTAAAGACAAGACTCCCAGTGGAAGTGATAGTGCTGTGCCAGTGTTTAGGGGTACTTGCATGCCGAACACCAAGGAAAGATAAAGTACGTATTTTTTACATTTTCCACAGAAAATTTTCAGTGCTAAGTGGTTGTATTTGGGGGCCTGGGACGGATTAATCCTATAACGAATGAATGCTATAATGAACAAGGTTCTAAAACCAATTAGATTCGTTATAGCATACCCCACTGTATATAGTACTTCAGTATAGTTGAGATTTTATTAAGAAATTTTTAAGCCAAAATTAGGGGGTCAAACTAAAGGTACTCCTCGACTTACGACCTACTCAACTTACGAGCACCCAGACATACGACCGCCCCAGTCGTACAAATTTTTTTTTAAATTACGTATTTTCGAGTCCCGACATTTGTGATTGCGCTGTGTACTGATAAAGTTTTCGTTTGTAATTCCCTTTAAAATGGCTGGCAAGCTTAAAAGTGAGAGTTTTGTGGTGCTGAGAAGAAAGAGACACCCATTTTAGATTTTCTATGTATTATTTTCGCATTTTCGACTTACGACCTGGATTTGGGTCCCTAACCCAGTCGTAAGTCGGGAACTGCCTGTAAATACAGTACATGTAATATTTTTGAGGGGTTAAAATTCATGCGTATCTGTGGGTCACTTACGGTGAACAACAGCTACCCAGTACATGCTCGAGTAGTCTAACCTTAACAGTAAGCTCTTTTATCTTGGGCTTGCCTACCATACCCCTAGATTCTTTCTTGATGTGCTACATGAAGAGAAGAACCTCATTCACTATATATGCTGCTTTAAAGCTACAAATAATTGATACAAAGGAAGATTTTCAGAAAAATTTCTTTTCAATTGCATCCATTAACATCTCTGGTAGCATTGTTGCCAAGTTAGACTTGTCACTGTAGCCACATCCCCCTAGCCCTCTCTTACCAGGCTGAGCTGTTAGCTTTGTTATGGTTATATTTCAACTCATACTTTTGTGTAGATATCCCTAACTTTCTTCATTTTTCTTATTCAGTTACATGTACAGACAATCCTACATGCAGAATGTGTAAAAAAAAATATAAAAAAATAATTATCATTACATCATAAACATAAAGGGGTTAAACATTTCTTCGTGTGCGAGAGTTAGCACGCTAAGCAGGGGAGGGAAATGTGATAGCACCGTTGCTAGGGGTAGGCAGAGGCAGCATATCAGCTAGGCTGCATTGATATAGAGAGCATCGAGGCAGCCAGCTTCATATCAAGAGAGATGTCTATTAAGGGGCCTTTTGCGAGGAATCATGGATGCCCCATGTTTGTGTTTCAATGAAACCATAGTTTTCAGTGATACACTTACCAGCTTCAGACTTACCATTACACATGCGTAAAACGCTGGTCTTGCACGGTGCGAAAAATGTATCCTCTTTCCAGACGCCAACGTTACTTTCAACAAAGGAAAAAAGTAGTTCACATTGTTTGATGGTCAACATATCAAAACAGTCGGTAAGTACCAGAACGGGCAGAGTTGGGAGGCTCAGCTCATGACGCACTAATTCTATACATACCTGAAAATAAAAGTTAAATGTTATCAGGACTATTTTGTTGCCTGAAATTCTATCTTAGCATAATAGAAGTTCCAAACTAAGACTAAGTCAAGTCAATTTGAGGAATTTGAGGAAATTGCCAGCATAAATAAGAGAGATCGGCAAGAAAATGCAAATGCAACAAGAACATATGAATTTTAAGAATTAATGTGTTGCATGTGACAAACACTAATACAGTATTGAAAAGAAACAAGCACTCATATACTGTACACTTGGTTAAATATAAAGAGTACACTGCAGAAAGACACACTATCATACTTCTGGTTCAAAAGATTATTATTGGTAGTGTAAATATACTGTATCATGTATAATCCCAATCCCAGAACTGCTCTGCACCAATTTTTCTGGTTACTGGAGACTGTATTACATAATTTCATTAATGGAAAACTGCAGGAAATTTATTTATAATTTTGATACAGTGAATGATACATAGTTAACATGCCATAGGTATATTTCTGGATCTTTATGATTTGGCATTGTAATGGTCATGTTACTCACTGTAGTAATGGCTGTGACAGTGGCGAGCTGTGTTGCCTCTCCATCAATCACCTTTTTTGTTACATAATTCCGGATTGCTGCCTCAACACAGTGCTTTGTTGCCTCACTGTAGAAAGAAAAGGATCATGTTTAAAGTCATCTTTTAATAGTGAAAGAAAAAATAAGTTTCTTTTATAATGCACGCGTGCACACACACACACAGAGGGTCCCTGTTATAGATGACTTCATTATACACCTGTATGTGGTTTTGCACTTAAGTGGTCAAATAATTGTGGAACTACACATAAAAAGTCCCCGAAGTATAGAGGATTCTAAGGCTGAAATCCGTCAATCATTGTGAGCACAAGCATTTGAGTGATTGAAATGCCCACCCGCCACTCATTCTCTTAAAGTTCATGCTTCACACTTGTGCTATGTGTCTCAGTATACATGAAGTGCTCCAAGAACTATAATTATAAACTTTGTTGTGTCCTTGGTGATATTAGTGGACTATTTTTGTAGCCATCAGTTCTAAACCAAAGCAAGGTGGTTTAGTGGCTAAAAGGAAGTGTAGTAGCCATGGGATGGACGTGAAATTAGAAGTTACATGTCATAAGAAAAGTGGTGAGCATGTCTCAATGAATGTGTGAGTGCATGGTTAGGTAGCTTGCACCACATCAACACACTGACCCCAAATGATTTTAAGTACAGTACCTAAAATAAGCTAAAAAGTTATATAATTTCATAAAATAATGTGTAATCAAATGTTCATTAACTGTTTCTAGGGTATATATAAATTTTAAACGATATCAAATTAAACTTTATATGAGCGTCACTTACAATGTGATGGTCCTGATTAGACGCTATTTGTATTAATTCTTAAGGGAATTCATTCCCCTTTTTAAGTGGTTTCATTACCAGTGGCATTAACCTGGTCCCTATTAACCACTTATAATGAAAAGCCCCTCTACATAAAAGGAAGAGCTTGCATTGCCAGGCAAACCACTTTAACAAGATTTATGTTATGTTGAGGATATATATATTACACCGGTAATGTTCCAAGTGATTCTTTTTATTTTTATTTTTTTTACAGGGAATAACCCACCTGGCCACAGGTCACTGACCAATAACGAGTAGTGGAAGGGGGGGGGGGGTAAAAATAAAAGAAAAAAGAAATTAAAAATAGAAGAGAAAAATACAATATTAATCTTCACCACGAAGATGACAGAAAACCAGCTTTTTGAAGTGAGACAGATTGTAAGAGTATGGAAACACAGAAGGCAGAGCATTCCACATTTTGGCTGTGTGGGAAAGAAGGATGTACTATAACAGGTTATTCTAGTGTGACCGACATCCACAGAGAAACGGTGGGCACAGCGGGCAAGACGAGTGCTAAGAGCCCACGGCCTTGCCGGCAGTACACAGGCTGTCAGATCCACTGAACATTGCCTGTTAAATTATCTGTAAAAGAGAGAGAGAGTGAAGCAACATTACATCGAAGAGAGATTATCAACTAAAGGAGGAGAGTTAATAAGACGAAATGCCTTTGATTCCACCCTATCTAACAGTTGGACAGAAGAAGAGGCACCCCAGATATGAGAGCAGTACTCCAAATTAAGACATATGAGTCCCTTATAAACTTGACAATGCAAGAAAAAAAAACTGAAATCCATTTGTATTAAACCAACAATATTGTAACAGCAAATTACAACACAAGTTCATTACAGTGTAGTACTTCAGGCCTCCAGTAATCTTTCATGATATATAACTTTGAAGGAAACTATACCTGTGTAACCCAACTTAACTGAACCTAACCTACCCTTTACTTCTACTGTAATTATCTTGTCTAAAAAAAACTGAGAAAGAATCAGACAGAACTAGAAAACTGTTGGATAATAATATACTGTATGTACTAAAAACAAAATAATATCAGTGAGTTATACAATTACTCAACAATATTATCTGTACCTTACAGGCATCCCTCGCCATAATAATGTTCAATATAGGAAAATTAACTTACACGAGTCTTCTATTCTTATACCTCTTTCACACTGTCAAAACTATTTTCACTTATACGAATATGGTCCCTAAAGTACTGTAGTTAGGTACTAAATTACAGTAATTGAGTACAGGGGGGTCCTCACTATATGTTGGGGATGTGTTCCAGAAAAAAGCAACTTTATAGTGAAGCATTTTATAATAAGGAATTTTCACCCTAAGAGTTAATGTAATTATGGGTATACCGTATGTGTTCCAACATGTATAGTAATACCCCTTGAAAGCTCAGCAAATCAGATTACAATTGGGTCATTATAACATAGAGTGCTGTACTGTACAAAAGTATTTGATATGGAGATACAGTAAAAAATAAAACATAATTTGTACTCCCCTAATTCAAAATTCCTCATAATTAGTAATGTTTTGCTGTTATGAAATAGAGTACAGTCGGCCCTTAACATACGCGGGGGTTACGTAACAGAGATACCCGTGGATGTTAAAAATCCGCGTATATGTGCTGCCCCCCCCCCCCAAAAAAACTTGGTCCTCCCATGTCCTTATTTACCGTATATACCTGTGTGTAGTTCAAGTTTTTAAGACCAAATTATTTGGCAAAAAATGGGGGTCGACCTCTAAACGGGTAATAGTTTCGTTAGGTTAAAAAATATTTACCAGTAACTACCAGTAAACAATGGAAATGACACACCAACACACCACCAGCTGTGAGTGTCGGTACAGTTGCTAGGGCAGATCTCTTGCGTCATCATAGCAAGCCCAAAGTAGCCAAATGCATGGTATGGTATGCACAGGACGATGTAAAACATAAAGTATTCATTTTTTAAAGTTTATTTATAGATACTGTACATAAATTTTTGTTCATTACATTTGAAACATCAATCTTTGTTAATTAAATTTGAAACAAAAGAAAACTACGATACCGTATTTCTAAATACCTGGTATTTTCATTAAAATATTACATCACAAGTATATTTTATCTTAACTGTGACTGAATGAATATAGGTATTCTCAGAAATAAATATGGAAATATAATAATTTTGCTGGAATGACGTACATATTACAGTGGAAAGACGAAAACAATGACTTTCGCTTTCTTTCGTTATTCAAAAGATTTTACCGTAATCGCTTTTCGAATGGTTTTCAGTTAAAAAACTGTTGTACTCGTACTGTATTACAATAATATTCTATCCTATCATTAGCCTTATAATCCCACAACAGAAAACCATTCGAAAAGCGATTACGGTAACATCTTTTGAACGAAAGAAAGAGAAAGTCATTGCTTTCGTCACAATTTTATCCCACTTTCCACTGTAACACGTACATCATTTCAGCAAAAATATTACATTTCCATGTTCTCAGAAATAAATGGTAGTTTTGTTGAAACGTAATGTACAAAGCAATGACTCGCTTTCTTTCGTTCAAAAGATGTTACCGTAATCGCTTTTCGAATGGTTTTCACTTAAAAAACTGTTGCATCACAAGTGAATTAGGATAGAATATTATTGTAATACAACAGTTTTTTAACTGAAAACCATTCGAAAAGCGATTACGGTAACACCTTTTGAACGAAAGAAAGTGAGTCATTGCTTTCGTCACTTTCCACTGTAATACGTATGTCATTTCAGCAAAATATTACATTTCCATATTCTCAGAAATAAATAGTAGTTTTGCTGAAATGTAATGCATTTCAATGTAAATTAGGATAAACTACATGAAAACAAAAGACTTTACCTAGCCTTCCGATATTCAAGATGTTACTCGTTTTTTTTAGTAGTTTTCAGTTAAAATACTCTTATATTAGTGATATTCTATTCATACTGTGCTTGATATAATGCATTCACGGAAATGTAATATTTTTGCAACTACAATGCTGATGTCAACACAAGCGTGGTTACAGCGAGACTGACTGAGTGAGAGAGAGAGCTATGCGTGTGTGTGTGAGGTTGCGGGAGCGGGCGGTGTCCCGTGTTCAGTGCTGCGCGCGAGTTGAATGGCGCGCGATTTGAATGTACTTCAATTACTTCAATGTACAGAATATTCCTCCGGCGGGGTAATCCGCGAATTTGCAAATCCTTGTATTATAAACCCGCGTATGTTAAGGGCCGACTGTATACAGTACTGTATGTTACAAATATTGTAATATTTGTTTAAATTTCAATATCTGAGACATTAAAATCATGACTGGGTTAGCCTCGTGCATGCCAAAGCTGTTTATTTTGCCCTCAGGTTTTATACAGTATATATGTACAGTGGTCCCTCGGTTAACGAATGGTTCGATTAACGAAATTTCGGTTAACGAATTACCTCCCATAAGGATCTTCAATTTGGTTAACGAACAAAACTTTGAGTAACGAAATCCTTACGAACAACACTTTTGTTGTGAGCATCAGCTGACCAGCTGATGGGCTAGTCAGCCAATTTAGCAAACTGTTCTATGTTTGCATTTGTTTTCAGTGGAGTAAATATCAAGAAAGTTGAGCTCCTTAATATTTTTGAAATTTTTATATTAAAATTATTTGTCATTTTAAAATTTAGTTAACATATTGATAATATATGCAATGCAGGGAACTAGTTTCTTGTGCACCCATCAGCAGCTTGACTCAGCCACCAGGCGTCAGTTTGGCTTTGTTGACAGTGGAGTGAACATCTATTTTGTTGGTGACTTGAATACTTTTTGCATTTTTACACTGAAATTATTGGTCATTCTGAAATTTAGTTAACATATTGATAATATATAGCGCAGTGTTGATTTAAACAAAATAATCTTGAATTACACCTAGTGAAATTAAAATTTTATTGGTGAAATGACTGCATCAAGCATGGGTCCCCTGAAAGGTGATTTCTCCTCCATCCCCACTTCCTTCTCTTTTCCCTTCTCCTCCAAGACCATTTCTAATTCCCATCATCATCATCATCAACCAGGAGCCTTCTACATACACACCTCAAAGTAAGTGTACTTTACTGCATTTTTTTTTACTGTGTATGAACTTTTCTGTGAGCTGGAACCAATTACCCAATACAGTACTGTGTACAGGTTGTACCTCTCTAGTCCGGCATTCTGTGGTCCGGAAACACCCGTGGTCCGGGATGATTTTAGTTTGTCCAATAGGT